TCACCTCAGACTGGTCCATGGTAGCCTCCTGATGCTCACGCGCTAACCAATTAGGCCTATAGCTAGCCCAGCCCACCGGAACAGTGACGCCGCCGTTGCGGATGGCCGCGCGCCGCTACAGCCTTCCCCAGCCGATCACGTCACCCACACCACCGCTTAGTGTAGCCGCTCGGGTCAGAGATGGTGATCGACCTGTTAGGTGGGCTCGAGCAGGTCCCAGGTGGCCGACGTAAGCGCCCAGTGCCGCCGCTCGACGCGTCTCCATGCATTGAGTCGTCGGGGATGTGCGCGGGTGAATTAGGGAAAGGCCAGGGGGTTAAGTGAGAAGTTTTGAGAGGGGGGAAATAGTGTTGGGACTTAGTTGTAATTTGGGAGAAGTGCGAGGTCTCTTTTGCAAAGTTGTCAGTGCGCGCGAGATTCCCCAGCGCGGGCCATCTCTGCATGGGTTGTCTTCGCATGGCCCGCATCGCGGGCCACCGTGCGCTCGCGCGCACGCTGTATGGCATGGGCCACGCGGGAGAATTCGTTTTTCTTTTTCATAAGGAATTAGAAATAGTTTTCTAATTTAATTTTTGAGTTGATCTTTGGTAAACCATATAAAATCATGTTGGTGTCCAAAAATTGTGAAACAAATTTTGTTAGGTTTCTAAAATTGTGCTCTATCGGTTAGTATATTTAGTTCATATATATACATGTTGATACCATGAGCTATTAAATCATTTGAGAGTGCTTAATATTGTTAGGTTAAATATTGTAGGAATTTTTGTGGTAAATTGGTGATAGCTTTGGTCCTGAAATTTTTATGGTAGCTTCATTGTATTATTATGCGCTCACTGTAATTTTTATAGCCTTAGAATAGACCAAGCATTAGGATAGTTAAATGCTCTTTGTTTCAATACGCATTAAATCATTAGTAGAAATAAAGATATATCCTTTATTTTAAAACTAGGTGTTTGTTAGTTGAACCCAACACTTTGCTTGGTAAAGATAATAGTTAGCTTAGTATCTTAGTTGTTAGAGCTAGCTTAGTAGCTTAGTATGCGTATTCTTATTTTAAGAGTTGCTGTTGCATAAATGCTAAGTGTTGCATCATCATCGCATGCATGTAGAGAACGAGTTGGTGGAGATCGCGACCATCGGCGATCACGAGTTCAAGGAGATCGTCGAGGAATACGAGGAGGAGATTCTCGTACAGGAGGAGGTCCCAGAGCCGCCACTGACTGACTCAGCTAACACCGCGCCTGCCCAAGGCAAGCCCCGGTGCATAACCCTTATTTTTTACAATCACTGAATATATATATATGTGATGTGTATTTATGTTACAGGAATTTTATGAAAACCACATGCATAGATATACCTGTCCTATGAGTCCTACTAGTATAGGTTCGATTAGCTGCTATGCTTAGGTTTCGGTAGCGTGAGTAACCCGTCGTTACTCATAATAGGTGATTATTACAATTATTCTCATGATAAAATGATAAAAGGAAAAAATAGAGACAGGACAGGGATATGGTATGTACATTGGTGGGTGTAACAGGTTGTGTCCCGTGGCCAACGGGGCTTAGCTTGGTTACACTGTTTTCCCTGTCCGTGTCGATTAAGGACCGTCCATTGCTATGGATGGTAGTCAGGTCACAGACTTACTATCCTGAGCATATACTTGCTTATGGGAGCGGGAAGGCTCGTTACGCTCTTATCATGGGTTTCGGCTCTTTTCGGACCGACTGATTGGAGGCGGAAAAGGTGGAGGTCTAAGCACCATACTGAGACCGGGTCTCAAGTGTGGGGACTTAGAGTCTAAGTTTGGATGGGGATCGAGACCCCGTGACAGGAGTGAAATGGGTTGGTCTTGTTTGTGTCTAGGGTACAAACGGGACATGTGTTTCAGGGTACCCAGCTGGGATACATTGGTTCGTGAATTGCCATTTCCGTAAGACTATGCGACTTGGCTATGGTCTAGCTCTGTAGTAAGAACTAGAAGATGAAAGATGATAAAATGGTTCTGATTGCTCAACCCTTACTTGAAAGTAGAATAGGTGCTTATCTAGAATGGTTAGCTAATAAAGTAATCATGACTGCTAATAAAACTTGGCTGTAAGGATAAACTATTAGTAAAGCTTTTCGCAAATAAAAAGAAAACAACAAACCCATATTGCCTATCATATCCTTGAGAGTCAAGAACTATTCCCACTAATCGGGTAAGTCCTACGAGTACATTGTGTACTCATGGTTTATTTTACCCCTGTTGTAGGTGCAGCTTGAGTAGTAGCTCTTGTGTGGAGGATTCTTCTGGTGGGCACATACGGATTCTTGTATCGATTCCGCTAGATGTTTATTTTCACCCCGCTATTCAATTATCGCACTCTGAACTCTAGTATTGTAATAAATGATTTCCAAGAACTCTTGTTGTATGAAATGTACTAAGTATTGTAAGCTCGTACTCATTATTGGATTCTGGATATAAAACGTGGATTGTTTCAAGTTCTCCCTTAGGGTGTGTTCGACAGAACTGTCCGATGTAGCTCACTTTCGAGGTGCTTAGTGTCTAGTGGAAGACGAGCGTCTTCGAAAGCATATTATTTTGGGCGGTTCTGCCATAGTAACGACGCTCCACATAAGAGTGCCTTACCTTGAATGGTCTTTTATGTCTCATAGAATATTCCTGTAACCACCTTCTCAAGGTGGGCAAGTCCTTAAAGGCCATACTCTTTTGAATTTCCAATCTGTCACCGGCCTTAGGAGCTTCTAGCAGCTCATCATCTCTTTCTTCTCTATAAGCATGTTGAGAATGATTTAGGTCGCTGAATTCATGAACTAGTGGATCACGATCAGGACATAAACGCCTGATGAGCTCCATTTCTTGTTCGCACAAATGTGCAACTGGGCGGTCATCATTAGAATCAATGGCTCTTGCTGTGCCATAAGGCTCCTCATCATCCGCAATATTAACATCCACACTGTTAGAGACTATAAACTCTAGATCCACGTTAGTTGATGGAGGCACAGGAGGACAACCATCATTATCAGGATTGTCTCCTGCATATAAAAGCATGAATATGGATAGAATTGAGACAAAGGAATGGAATGAAGGAAGAATAGCGAAAGTGAAAGTGTTACTACATCACTTACTTGGATGATTCTGGGTCAAAGGAATCTCCTGAGGGACAGTAACTCCATCATCGGACCGACATTCTGCACTAACAATCAGGACATACTCCAACCTCATTCGAGGCATCAGAACCACATCTTCCACATCCACCTCGCGGTTAGGTAATGGAGGGTCAGAAAGTGCTGGATTCTCTGGTTCTGAAGAGAACCCATGAGGGGGTGAATGCCCATTAGGGGGTGAATACCCATGAGGGGTGAGATCATTGAACAACTTCCGCACAACCAAATCCAAACATTAAGACTCATTCTTCATGACAGTTTTGACATATTTGTCCTATTGAGCCTCTGATGCAATTGGGACCAACCGCCTAAAAATACCACCTGATTTACCATAGTAAAGTACCCCCTCAACTGAGATGCCATCCTCATTTGAATTGTAATGAAGCTCATCACGAGAACTATCAAACAACTCATAAAACAACGACCGATCATCGAACATGAGAGGCACCCTTTGCATTCCAATAAAATTGATATTCCCAAACTCATTTTTCTCCACACTTCTTTCATGATACAGGGTGACTACGTTGTCCATCTAGTTGGTATGCACAACATCAAAGTTATTACGGGTTCAACTAATAAGAGTATAACTAAATTACATACATAATTAAGTATCCTACTATCTATCTAAATAAATAAGTATCTAAACTACCTAACTATCTATCTAACTATATAAGTAATTTTACTAACTATAGTTACTACATGTACTATCAATATATAACTTAATTACCTAACTATCTAACTTATAAATAAACTAAATAACTAAATTAACTACCTACAAAACTACATAAATAACTAACAACCAAACAATCTATCTAAATGAGCTAAATATATAACCTCTACATAACTAAATTGTCTCACTAAATACCTAAATTAACTAACTAAATTACATCACTATATAACTAAATTAGCTAACTAAACTATCTAAACTAACTAAATTGTAAAACAAAATTATAGAAAATTAAAAAAATTATCTTACTTGAGTTGGCTGACGGCCGGCCGTGCAGGCGGCCCGCCGGCCGATGGGGACGCCGGGGAGAGGCGGGGCCGCCTCGCCGTCGATGTGCGCGGAGGAGGATGGGGCGACGAGGGCGATCGAGGGAGCAAAATGGGCGTGGAGCTCTTCGGAGGTGGTGGCGCGGCCTACTGCGGTAGCGTAGGTGGCCGGAGGTGCTGGCGCGGGCGGCGGCCAGAACGACGGAGACAAAGATAGCTCACGCCGGAGTCGATATGAAGAAGAAGAGGGCGCGCTGTATAGGTATAAGACCTCGGTGCCAAGATCTGTGGCTCCGAGGTCGGCGATAGGGATCTTGGCTTCGAGGTCGGCGCCAAGATCTGTGGCTCAGACCTCGTCGTCAGGATCCGTGGCGCCGACATACCTGCCATGTCAGCGCCACTTAGATGCTCTGTTGTTCCCGGCCAGACATCTCGGCGCCGAGACATGTTACCTCGGCGCCGTAGGCCACGGTGTCGATGGGTTAAACATAATTTTTTTTAAAAAAAAGGGTCAAATTACAAAAAAAAAATGGGTCACTGTCTTGCCCAAACCGATCATCCTGAAGATCGGACGGCCGAGAGCTGCCAGCTTCAGCCGCGGGAGGACTGGGTTGCAATCCGTGACAACCTGGGGTGCCTCCCTGCAAAAGTACCACCACGATCGGAAGCTTCTCCGCTCTCCTCTGTTTCCCTGCCGACGAAGCAGCAGCAGCTGCAACGACTCCTCATCCAAATCAAACCAAACCAATCCGCCGCTCACTCCGCCGTCATCTCCAACCTCCGGGGATCTCAGCCGCCAAATCCGGGCCGTGCTCGCGCTTGGGCACCTGCGGCCTCCGATGGGGAGCGAGTCGGAGCCTGCCAAGGGGCTGCTGCCCTACCTGCAGCGCGCCGACGAGCTGCAGAAGCACGAGCCCCTCGTGGCGTACTACTGTGAGAGATGCTTCTCTCTCCTCGTCGGGTTCGTTCCCAATCGCATCCTATTGGTTAGGGTTTTGATTCGAATTTGGATTTGGGCAGGTCGGCTCTACGCGATGGAGAAGGGGTTGAGGATACCCCAGAAGGAGCGCACCAAGACCACAAACTCCATCCTCATCTCCCTCATGAACCAGCTAGAGAAGGCACGTGCCTACATCTGGGTCTCCTCTCTCTTGTTCAGTTGGATTAAACAATTGCTGTGATTAATTTTCCATTTTAGATCTATCTATTATACGCCCTTACGGTGGCAACCAGAAAAGCATTTTGGATGTTGCGGCTTAGTAAAATGTTTCAAGCTTTCTGTGCAACTGGTATCAATAAAAATTGACTGTTCCATCAATATAGGTTCTGTTTGGATACATGTTGAATCATCAGTATATATAGAATTATGGGTATAGGTCCTGTTTAGATATATGTTGAATTATCAGTATAGAATTATAGGTTCGCTTTGGATATGTTGAACCAAACAATGTCTGTGACAAGGATACTTGAGTAGTGGGGGTTTGTGCTTTGTCTACTTTTAGCATTCATGTGGTAGGACTTTTGTTATATTGCTGAGCTTGACTTGTTGGTATCATGCTGTGTAACAATTTGTGAAGACAGATTTCACCAGTGTTAATCTGGCACGATGCAAGCATGCCCAGAACTTCTTTACGAATTTAGTAAAAATCTGGAAGTTGTAGTTTTTTTAATAAACACTCGTTGATACTAAAAAAACAAGTTTAAACCACAAATGAACTTCATTGTGTCTTATACAATCACATTTCATGCCAGCACTAGATCGAATCAATCTCTTGCTGTCTGGAAATTGGAATGCTGGTGTCTTGCCTTTTTTAGTTGGTTTAGTGAAACCAATATGGTTATATGTCTTTGCTTAGTATTTGACTAATATATGAGGTCTATCGATTGGAGAAGTTATGGATGTGTGGGTTGGGTTGATGATCATATCTGCATATTATATTTGTGTTCTTGACATTTGACAATACACCAATACCTAAGAAAACAATATGAACTTATTCAGATGGCTTTTGCTTTTATGATGGAAGAAACACTGATTTCAATTTCACACTGACTGGCATAGGACCAGCATATCTATAATTCTACTACTTTATGGCTGCTTGTAACTGCAATTTCTTGTCCCCTAGAACTAGATGTTTATTGCTAGATGCTGATTGACCTTTTGCAATAGTTGTAACAATGGATTATATGAATTCAGCAGCTGTCCCACTACCTTTAACAGCTTTTGTAGTGTAGCCTTATATGTGGGGTAACTGTGACATTAAACTTCTCCTACTCATGCACCAATGACACAAATGTAGCATGTAGCATGCAACTGGTTTTGATATGCCTGACAAATTCATATGTTTTCCATTTCATCTCTTAGTCTAAATATGTTTCCTCATCCTCCAGGACAAGAAATCGTTGACTTTGGGGCCTGACGACAATCTTCATTTGGAGGGATTTGCATTAAACGTCTTTGCTAAAGCAGATAAACAGGACCGTGCTGGACGAGCTGACATGTATCACACCTCGCGAAATTCCCATTCTGCTTCAATCATTCTGGTATCATCCTTTTACAAAGTCTTACTAATGCATGCCAAATTAATCTTGCAGAAACACTGCTAAAACCTTCTATGCTGCAAGCATCTTCTTTGAGATTCTTAACCAGTTTGGCGAGCTTCAACCTGATGTAAGTTTATCATGTTATTGCCTACTAATGCATTTATTACTATATAATCTTAATGCTCCTTGACCTATACGGAAAGGTTCAATGAACATATCTGTATCGCTTTTATTTTGCCTTGAGCAGGTTGAGCAAAAACAGAAATATGCCATCTGGAAAGCTGCTGAAATAAGAAAAGCTCTCAAAGAAGGCCGGAAGCCTGAAGCTGGACCACCTGGTGGGGATAAAGATGAAGCGCCTGTCAATACCACCACCATTTCTCAAGTAACTATCCCGACTCACTAGCAGTGGTTTTTGAATGACTATCGCCATGCTCTCACTCTTAGCTAGTGTGAAATTGCCTCTTTCTATCTACTATAGCAGTATAATTTGCTTCAATGTTGCTGACACCAATCCTAATGTTCCTTCTCATAGGTTACTCAAATCTTGTTAGATTGCTTCTGTTTATCAGTGACTACATATTAAATGTATTACCCATCCAACATACATTCAATTTCCTTAAATGTATATTGTCAACACTCTTAATTCATGTAAGCATAGATTCTGGAGAATTCTGTTACCTTAATTTACCTGTTTCAAATGAACGGACAACAACAACAACAACAAAGCCTTTAAGTCCCAAACAAGTTGGGGTAGGCTAGAGTTGAAACCCATCAGAAGCAATCAAGGTTCAGGCACGTGAATAGCTGTCTTCCAAGCACTCCTATCTAAGGCTAAGTCTTTGGGTATATTCCATCCTTTCAAGTCTCCTTTTATTGCCTCTACCCAAGTCAACTTCGGTCTTCCTCTGCCTCTCTTCACGTTACTATTCTGGCTTAGGATTCCACTACGCACCGGTGCCTTTGGGGGTCTCCGTTACACATGTCCAAACCATCTCATTTCAAATGAACGGACACATGGCAGTAATATTTTTGTCTATTTAACTTTAGTTGTAACTTACATTCAGTAAGGATTTCCTCCAACCTTTCTTCAATGCTTCCATATATGTCATTTAATTAGGCTTGAAAGATCTTAAACTGTACAGTAAACACTGATTATGCTTCAGTATTTTGTGCAGATTTTGGCATTCACTGGTTCTCAACTTTTGTATTGTTTGGTACTGTAAACAGGATATGGGGCAAAGTCCTTCCTTCAGCAGTGTACACCAAGGCAGTGAAGCATCACCTCGACCTGTCAACATGGTTATTTCCCAGCTTCTCTTTAGTACTTGTGATTTGCGATATTTTTACATGGTTTCATTGAACAAAGCAGCTTTAATTTTTTTATATATCATTTTGTGCACAGGATTTTAGTAGGCGGGATAGCTTTTCTGCTGTGCAGCCAGGAAATAATGTCCCTCGCCAAAGTACAGAGTTCAATGATCATCCCTCTACCCAGTTACCCTATTCACCCCCACCACCCTCACAATCCCAGCATCCTTCTCCATCACAATCTTATTCCTCTCCCTCGTACCAGGCAACAGATTACCCTTCTTCTGATTTTCACAAACCATCCCCCAATTATTCATCTCCCCCCTACACAAGCACAGATTACCCTACCAATGAGGTCCACAAACCACCTTCCAATTATTCCCCACCTCCTTACACCAGGACAGATCATCCTTCCAATGATGGCTACAATCCTCACAGCAATGATAAACCAGATGTTTCGGCTTACCCTCAGGCATACGAACCCCCACCCTACACAATTGACCCTCAGCACACCTCTCAAAACTACTACTCCACTGAAGCCCCAGCTGCTCCATACAACTACCCTAATTTCCAGTCATATCCAAGTTTCCAGGACAGCACGGCACCTTCTGTCCCGACGCATCAATCTTCATTTTATCCTGCAAGTGATGGCCCTTCAGCTACATCGTACACTCCTGCCTCGAATTCCTCCGCCCCAACACACTACCACTCAACTGCTGAGTCTTCACCTCAACTTACTCCTCCAGCTGCGCCACCAGCTAGCCAGTATAAATATGATAGCAGTTACCAGCCTGAAGTTGAGAAGATTGCTGAGGCTCACAAGGCAGCCAGATTTGCTGTCGGTGCTCTTGCATTCGACGACGTATCTGTTGCTGTGGATCACCTGAAACGTGCACTGGATCTTCTGACAAACCCTTCTGCTGAACCTCATTAGCTCTTTGCATCACCGTGCTCTTGTCAGAAGCATCATCTGTACATATACAAGATTGGTATACCACCCATGGATATATTGCCAGTTTGCATACATACAAGACGGGTTACCACACAAATCTAGGAGATAATAAGCGAGCCGTGTGGGCTTTTGAAGTGACACTTACAGGAATTGTCAAATTCAATTATTTTATTCAGAGTTTTGTGCTACGTAAGCCATTGTATTCATTTGCATATTCTTGTGGTCTGGTATGGTATTTTGGGTATGGATGGTTGATGCAGTGCCTGCTTTGTTTGTCTCTTTCATGATTTGTATACCACAAAAAAAAAAAAAACTTAATTTTGAAACGCTGAAGTAAGGTAACAGATGAGCCAGAACTCGGGTGGTGCGCACCGATGTGTCTTCGCAAGGGATTGATTCACGTCCTGATCGCGTTGCCTTCCGGCTGTTGTCATTTCATCATCCTCTGACGGTCTATCTGTAATTGTTTCTCTGGTTAATCCTTTAGAAAAAGAAAACGATGTTTGATAGTGGTGCGAGAGTTCAAAGCTAGACAATACTGTGCCTTTATCTTGACGAACTACAGAGCTGCGTGTCATTGCTTATTACAATAGAAACAAAAAGAGAACATTAGACACAGACCAAAGTCTAGCCTGAGCACAAAACTCACTCACATAGTCACATCCTTAGAGCATCTTCAAAAGCCTTTCTAAGTCTCTCTCTAAATCATCATTTTCGAGAGTCATTTGCATAAAAATCATTTTCTATATCTTTTTACTCTTCAACAGTTTTTCTATATCTTATGCGCACTCTAGAGAATCATTCTCGTCTTCTATTTTTAGCTAGCGAAAAATCCGGAATAGAAGATAGCTATATTTGTATGACCATTTAGAAAAGTTATTGGAGGGTACTTTTTCACCAAAATCTCTATTCCTATAATTTAGAAATGATATTGAGAGTCTCTTGAAGATGCTCTTATAAAAAAAGGAGAGAAAACTCACCACAAATAGGGGGTGTGTGTGTGGTGGGGGGGGGGGGGGGGGGTCAGCCTATGCTGTTGGGATTAACGACCTAAAAAGGAACTCAGTTCCTAAGACCTGACGCACCCATTATGCACCATAAACCATATTCATCCTTAATGATTTGGAGGATAGGAATTCTAGGTTGAGCCCCTTAAAAAACACAAGACTTCTTACATTTCCAAACCTCCCGGGTCACAAGAATGACTAGGGAGTTCAAGCCCTTGCGTAACTCTTTAGAGTACTCATGATGATGTGTCCCCACTAGGTAGAGAAGCGTTGTTCAGTTGCCAAAGGTGTTACATCAACTAGGTCCAAGGGCCAGGGACCAAATTTGAAGATTGGAAACACATAAAATCAATAATTGATTGTTTCTTCGACTTGATCACAAAGAAGACAAGGAGCCAGATGGGGCACCCCCTACTTAGCGAGGCAATCCGCTGTCCAACATCTGTTGTTTATAGCAGCCAAGTGAAAAATTTGCAGCACAAAAAAGCCTAACATTTCCAAATCCTCTTTCAAGGGACAAACTTGATGGGTGTCCACAAAGAAAGCAGCATAAGCAAACTTGCTAGAACAAGAGCCAGATTATGTCAACTTCCACCTACAGTGAGCCTGAATATCTTGTTGTAGAACAAAGCCATCCACTAGCTCCCAGATTAACCATGCTCCAAGAGTTTCCAAAACTCACTCCCAATCTTGATTTTTGGCAAGATTAAAAAAAAACTATCTCCAATATCTCCTTATCCTAACTCTCAATCTTTCCGCACTTGGGGAAATCAATCCAATCACGCGGAAAGATACGCGTGTGTATCCAATCAGGCAATTTGGAGGTGGAAGGACGTGGGAAGGCTAAGGAGAAAAGAGGATTCCCGAGAAAAAAAGTATAAAAGTGACCTAGATGATTCGAAAATAATTTAGAATTCCTGATGCAAAATAGTCCTCTATCTTTTAGTAGCGAGATATTGAAAATCGTCGAAGAAAACCAGCAAATATGTTCCTTACTTTTTTAGCGACTTGAAAAGCCCATTGATTTATCAATCATTTTTTTAGAACTATCGGGTTCCTTGATTTTTGGCCTCATATCCACATATCTTCTACATATCACTTTTATTTCTGAAACTGTATACCAACATTTTTGGCCAGTTCAACTAAATACCAGGCTAAGAGCTTGTTTGTTTGGGCTTCATCTTTTATTTCTAGCTTTTTTTTGACAATAAACAGGAGGGGGCGCACCCCTACTGATGATTTATTGAAAAAAGAGTTTAGAAGTTATTACAAGTGGTTACAAACTAAAGAGGGAGAGTTTTTTTTTTGAAAACGTAGGAGAGCTACGTTTCATTGTATTATAGAGAATGAAAAAAAGGGGGGGTCCCCAACAGGATCCTCACTCATACAGGGACCAAATATGAATGAGGCGATTACACATACACAATAATAAGACCCATAAAAACAAACCCGACACGACCTTAACTAGAAGGACCTAGTCTGAACAAACCTAGCCCTTCTAGCTTTTTCGCACCAGCCAAACACCAAAGGTTGTGCTCATTCTTCAGCTCACTCCAAATCAAGTTAATCGAAGGTGAGGCCCCCTCAAAAACACATGCATTTCTATGTTTCCAAATAATCCAGGCCCCAAGAATAATTAGAGAATTCACTCCTTTCCTGTGCTCCTTGTTAACTCAGTTAATAGTCTTGCGCCACCAATCAGCAAAGCTTAGTTCGTTATGGTGGGGGACACAATCTGCTAGGTTCAAAATAGAAAATAATCTAAATCAAACTTGTCTTGCCACCACACAAGATGTTAACAGATGTTGTATTGTCTCATCTTCTTGATCGCATAGGGGGCATTTATCCGGATGAGAGAGGCCCCTCTTAGCGAGCCTGTCTGTCGTCCAACATCTATTACGGATTGCCAACCACAAAAACATTTTTCATTTGCTTGGGGCCCAGGACTTCCATAACCGATGCCAAGGTTCAAAGGTCACAAAGACCACGTAAAAAACGCTTTATAGGCAGATTTGGAAAACTAGCAACCACTTGAATCTAGCCTCCATGTGTGACGATCCTCTTGGTCGATTAAGGTAAATCCCAAGAGACAATCCATAGCTGCAAGAATTTTCTAATACCAGTCCAGAAAGGCCTCCTTGAATATCTCTTGGCCATTGCACATTGGTGAGAGTCTGTAGCCACATCCGGCTATTGCGAATTCTAGGAGAAACACAAGCATAGATAGATGGCGCAAGATTTTCAATCGAACACCCGTGAAGCCACCGATCAGTCCGGAAAATAGTATTCTCGACCATTCCCAACCTCGTCATGACCGCAATGGCAAAAGGGATAGCGAGTTAGAGTGCGAAGGCACTTCCAGATCAGACCATGGACGATCGCTTTTAGTCTTTTAAACCATTGCCACCTGATTTGTAAAAAGCCCAGTGCCATCACCTCCAAGTTGGGTATGCCCAAGCCACCAAGATCCAATGGTCTCATGACCTTCTCCCAAGCCACCGGACAACAACCTCCATTAGCCTTATCCTTTCCTTGCCATAAGAAGCCCCTTCCGATTTTGTCTACTGCCTTGATGAACCATTTCGGGACGCTGATGTCAATTAACAAATGAATAGGCATGGCGAAAAGAACACACCGGACTAATGTGGCACGACCAGCCCTGTTCATGAGAGAGCGCCTTCCAAAAGACGGGAGTTTGTCACCTATTTTCTCAATCCATGGCATAAGGTCCCTCTTAAGAAGCTTTTTGTTTGACGGTGGTAAGCCCAAATACTTGCATGGGAACACCGAGATAGTACATGGCGAATATCATGAATAGTCATCAAGGACTCTCCCGCACAACCGATGGGGATGATGTTACTTTTCTCGCATATTGGTATATAACCCTAAAGCGTCACCAAATACCTTGAGAATATCTCTAGTGAGCAGCAACTCCTCTTCAATTGGCTTAATAAATATGGCAACATCATCAGCATACAGAGAAAGTCTTTGTCCAGCCACCCTTGGGGATAACAAATTTAATGACCCTCACTTGTCAGCCTTTACAAATAAATTGTTCAAAGACATCCATCACTAAAATAAAGAGCATGGGGATAAAGGGTCCCTTGTCGAAGACCTCGCTGATGATGTATTAGATCTCCCAGTTCTCCATTCAACAAGATTTGAGTTGATGAAGAGGATAATAGATTGGCCACCAAATTGCGCCAAGAATTTCCAAAACCCAAATGTTGTAGCACTTCTAAGAGAAATGGCCACGACACCGAATCAAAAGCTTTGGAGATATCCAATTTAAGAAAGAGGCTAGGCATCTTTTGTCGATGTAGCACCTTAACTGTTTGCTGCACTAGAATGAAGTTATCATGAATGCATCTTCCCCGTACAAATGCACTTTGATTAGAAGAGACTAACGAGTCCAATAAGGGGCCAAATTGATTAGCAAGAATCTTAGTTAAAAGTTTACCAAGTCATGCACTAGGCTAATGGGGCAAAAATCTTTCACAGCCACCGCATCATTCTTCTTCGGAATCAGAGTGATATAAGCTGCATTTAACAGTCCAAGCCTCCTTACTTGACCTTGCTGAACCGTGATAATTGCCGCCATGAGATCTGCTCTAATAACCTGCCAACATGCCTTGTAAAATCTGCCAGTATACCCATCTGGACCTGGGGCTCTATCTGATGGCATAGACTTGATAGTTTCCCAAACTTCTTCCTCCATGATTGGATTATCAAGAGCTGACAAATCCATAGAATTCCGATGAAAGAATTGTAGGTCTAAGGACGCAGTTCGGATCGGGGCTGAACCTATCAGATTATCATAAAAATCATACAATATCCTATGTTTATCCTCCTGGGAAGTGATAGTCCGATCACCATCTATGACTTTGGAGATAAAAATTTTTCTCTTCCGAAAAGCAGCCTGCTTGTGGAAGAAGGATGTATTAGCATCACCCTCCTTTAGATACCTGACCCGGGAACGAAGTCTAGCAACAGTTCGTTCTAAAGACGCTAACTTCAGGCAAAGTCGCTTCAATTCCTTTCGCAGTCGGTCCTCTCCAATGGATAGAGTCCTCCTATCTTGGGCCACTTCCAGCCTATGCAACACTTCACGAGCTAGAGCAAGTTGAGCTTTCTGAAACCTGGTTTTCTAAAAGCTTGCTTGTGCAAAAGCTAACATGTTTGTCTGCCAACAACTTTCTCCCCGCCCCCTCTGGCTACCCCTCCCACCGGAGTAGAAGACGAGGTCATGTGATGAAGGCGAGAGCAGCGGCGCCCGCAGCATTCCGAGCCTGGGCCGTAGGCGTCGGCGCTCCTCTGTAACTCAGCTTGGCGGTCGACATGGCGGCTCCACTTGCAGGCTGGAGCTTCACCAAGGAGAGGGCGGCGCGGCCAGAGAGGCTTGAAGTCAGTGCTGCTATCGGTGAGAGGCCGAGCAGAGCGGAAAGAAGAGGCCCGATGAATAACGTTTGGGCACTTAAGCGGTGGCTTGGAGACAATTTCCCGTGTGCTATTAAAAAAAGATCGCAATGCGGTCTTCAGCGTCACTATTCTAACTTTTTCGTATCATCCATGTCACTTTCGTCAGTTTGGGCTCTTAGACCGTCAAACTGTAGGTGTGAAAAGACGAAAATACCCTTAAGTCTAAATATGTTATTAATTTTTTGAGCATCTTAACGACTTCAAATGAAAAAACTCAAAACTAGAAAATTGTAGATCTCGTCGAGATCTATAATTTTTATATAAAAATTATTTTCATTTAATTCTGAAAAAAATGATTTGATATGATTAATATATCTTAGAAAAATCATATTATTTTTTTGCAGAATTAAATGAAAATAATTTTTATATGAAAATTATAGATCTCGACGAGATCTACAACTTTCTAGTTTTGAGTTTTTTCATTTGAAGTCGTTAAGATGCTCAAAAAATTAATAACATATTTAGACTTAAGGGTATTTTCGTCTTTTCACACATGCAGTTTGACGGCGTTAGAGCCCAAACTGACGGAAGTGGCATGAAGGACACGAAAAAGTTGGAGTAGTGATGCTGAAGATCGCTGAACTTTTCCAGGGATACACAGGGCATTACGATCTTTTTTAATTTCACACAGGGAATTCCCCCCTTAATTTGTTGGAAGCCACCCAAGATGAGCTTTCAGAGGGCCTGTTTTTTAGAGCTCGATGAGCTGATTATCTGAGAAGAGTAATTCTGTGGTTGGAAGTGATTCTCTTTGATTCTTTAGCATAAACACTTGAAATTATGATGAAGAATCATTTCACGGAACGAGGAGAAACTACTTTTTTCAGCTCTCAACCTTCTAATCAAGTTTCAAGAAGACGCTAGGCGGTCTCTAGGCGATGGCCTAGAGCCTAAGCGTTCCCAAGGCGTTTTCTAGACATTAGTATATACCCACAAAATAGTAAACGGTCCAAAGCCCAAGTCCCACGACACCTTGTCCGCCTATCCCTTCCTCCTCTGCTCGGTCACCCGCCGCCGCCGCACAAGCATACAACCGCCGTCCTTGCTTGCCACAGCCATGCTTCAGCGGCGCAAGCTGCGTTCGTCGATCCCTCCCCACCGGCGACCTCCGTCCACCGCTTCACGGGTCTCTGCTTTCTCTCTCTCTCTGTCTCCTCCTGGGTGGCCGCCTCGCCCGCCTCACCCCCCCACCAACGACCTCCGCCCGCCGTCCGCTAGTCCCCCTCCCCACCGGCGACCTCCGCCCACAATCTGCCGGTCCTCCTCCCCCACCGGTGGCCTCCGCTCGTGGCGTGGCTTCCTCCCTCATGCAGTGCGGCTCCAGATTTGGGTGGACACCGCCTATCCCTCCGCCTACCCCCTTAGGTGTGGCGGCAACCCTCCGCCTAGCGCGTAAGCACGCCTGGGCGAGTGCCTAGGAGCGCCTTTTTGAACATTGCTCCTAGTTCATTTGAGAGAATCACTTCACGGAATCAGTTATGGGAGCTCTGCCAAACGGGGCCTGAACTTCCAGTATATATTCTTGGTTTTGGTGATCTTTCTGACTTTACAAAGTTGGCCTTCGAAGGTGGCTGTTTGTTTCAGCTTTAAGTTTTTGACTACCAGAAGCTTCCAAGAAGCCCAAACAAACAGGCCTTACGGGCAGAGTTTCCACTTTGAGAACCGTTCTGGGCATCAAACTTCATTCCATCATTATGTTGTCTTTCCTTTGAAGAAGCATGTCAACCATTTTGCTGCCAACAGCAGGGAAGGTTTTGCAATGCACATACGTCCGTGGCAATATTACTTCAGCACCTTGGACGGCAAGAGCACCGACCACTTTTGAACAACAAACGGAAAGGGAAAAGAAAAGAAAAGAAACAATTAACTCCAGGATCATGTCGAGCGCGCTTACATCAAGAATTTTACTGGATGCTATATAAGGGAACAGCTGAATGCAGGAGTTGCAGGCAAACCACTAAATTCCCTCCAGGAACTCACCAAAGTTCTACAGAAACAACTTCGCCTGTACCAATAAGCAGGTGGTAGCAATCAACCGCACCCCAATACGATGTAATAATAGCTATTAGTTATAATCGAGCAACCAGAGAGGTGAGTTTTTTACAAGGATATTATGGTACACAGAAAAGGAATATATACAGACTGATATGACATAGCAATAGGGCCAGCCAACTACCCTCTTCTAGCCACACCCCATCTTACAAATTTTACAGTCCTGCAAAGAGAAGTGGAGGACATCTTATTAATTGGTATATATCATAGACTAGTTGCATGAACACAATCAAGGTAGCATACCACAAACCTGATTTCAGCTAATCCCTTGGTTTGCCATTGAAATAACTAGATGTATAATTCTTCAAAAGAACAAAGAATGTCAGAAACCTACTTAATTGTCAACATTGTAATCTTTATACAGACTGCTTGTGGATTGATCATAATTCCACCTGCAAAATAAAAATAAAAATACAAATATAAATATAAAAATAAAAAGCCAACCTTTTCAACTGCGGTAGTTAATAATTGTACTAATGTGCAAACTTTTGTAAGAATTTTGGTTGGGGAATTTGTGGGAGGTTGAGGGATCAAAGGTGATATCTACGATGTTGGAGGGGGAAGCTTCAGGTCTTCGGCCCTATTTGGATCGGCTTCTTGGGTGGCTTAACTTAAAAGCAAAGTGCTTCGTGGGCTTGCATGTCTTCCTCACGCCGCCTTCCAGCCCCACTCGCGCCCATCTCCTCGTGGCGCCATCAAAAGTGGTGGTATCAGCCTTCAAACTTGCTCCCTCCAACGTGCTCTGCTTGCCGAAACTAGAGCAGTCGCTCGTCTCCCTCTCTCCAATGAGCTCCCTCAACCGAGCTTGAGCAGCAGCGACATCACGTGAGTGGGAACCCTCTAGCGGTGGACCGGTGGTGGAACTAGAGCGGATACGGTGGGTGGTGGGTTGTCGAAGCGGCCATGGTGGAGCGATGGGCCATCCGACATTCCTAGTCTTCCTCCTCGGCATTGACAAGGAGGCTGCCGTACCTCTTTCTCTCCAACATCAAAAGCGATTGGCCAAACGGTAGGCTTTTCCCCTGCTTCTCTTTTTACAAAAGCTAACTTATAAAATAAGTAGACTTCAAAAAGTTGATCCCCAATAAGTAGATCCAAACTTTATCTAAAAAAATAAGTAGATCCAAACAGGGCCATTATCTAGTTGCCTCAGGGTTGGCGCGTCGTGACAAGCAGGATGAGGCTGGCAGAGATAGTGAGGACTGAGAAAGCGGCATCAACTAGGGAGCAGGATTAAGAGCTTGAGAGGTAAATATCTTCTATTCTTGATTTGATGAATAATGCCACTGATGCTACATTTAATAGCCAGTGGACACTTAATGAGTTCAATCTAACTTAGCAAATACATCCAGATCAGAACCAATCATAACCACAGCAATGATCCTCCCTGTTTGTGTTAGTCCCTAACTTCAGAAGCAATGAAATCCCTTGGAAATTTGCAGCCTAGCGATTAGTTTCTTTTTCTGAAGGAAAAAGCCACTGAAACATGTAATGTATGCTTATATCAAGGGTAACACCGAAGACATGCTAAAACTGACTCCATGTGAAGTAACATGCAAAATGGTTTAGGCTCTGGTGGTCCTTGGTCAAGTTTTTCTTCTTTGTTTGTGGCGAGTTTTTTGTTCTTGGGGGTGTGAGTGGGTTTTTGTACTCAGACTGGGCTTCTGTTCTCAGCCCGTTGTAGGAAGCATCAACAAAAGGGGTGGCAACAAGATGGGAAATGATATTGGTGCCGTTATTGATCACTACTAGCTCCAAGGGCAAAAGTAACACACAATCTCTGACAACAAAATGACAATAAAAGTCAGTGATGCCTTCATTTTCTTGATGTGTAACTAGTTAGATATCATTCTTGTTCAACTCTCTTCTTCAAGGGCAAAAGAAAAATACAGTTACGGATTAAGCCAGTGTTGAGGAAGGAATAAACCAAACTCAACCATCCACAAATTTGGTCATTAATTAGCAGTGCTATGCCCTTGGTTAAGTTTTCAATTACCATTCATGTATCCGCCTTTGCTATATCAATGTGAGACTAGCCACGGAGAAAATCCTAACTACCAAAACCAACCAAACCAGCAGCAGCATGATCTATTTCTAGTGCTACACATGATTTTCTTCATTGATAAATGAGTACATTTATTAATAACCAAATGGTTTTGGGTCGGGCAACCAGTTCTGCAAACAAATACATATGTTCACTAAGTAAGGTAATAGAAAATATTAAAGGATACGAAACAGACCTGCAGAAGAAAATTGGATGCAACCTACAACCTGAACTGTCTAACTGACGTCTTCTCTTGGTCTCTTCTCTAAACTTGTCAGCATGAAGTACCTCACAAGGGCCACAAATAGTAGAAACTAATACAGTTCTTTCATCGTTTGAACCATATACCTTCAAGAAGACAACAGGAATAAGCAAACCAGAAAGTTATTACAGTAAAATTTATCAACTATCACTATAGGAACTATCCTCCTGAATACAAGGCTTATAAATATATTATATCGCTACAAGCAAAAAATGAGAAAGCTCAGATCTAGCTAATTGGCAGAAGATTTTTCATAGCATCAAGAATAAAAACTCTACATTATGATTGATAAATTTATTTCTTAATGATTTAATAATTGTGTATCTGTACAATATTATATAGGTTGTTTACGTCATCTAAAAGAAATACTGACACAGGTGAGATTCCACGATACTTATGAAAGGTAAACATTCCAATGGTTTCCAGTTTCATCACAATAGTTAGTTGGCTCACCTCATCCTCTTCAACGCATGGCTTGCTAATAGATTGTGGAATATCGGAGCCTAAGAAATAAGGATTGACCATAGCCAGTCTAGAACCAGAGTCATGCTCTTCCCATAGTGACTGTAAAATGGGCAACACAATTAGTAATCCTGCCCGTGTTTCAGAAAGAATATATTACCACACACTCTACTGTAAACAAGCATAGAACCAGAGTCATGCTCTTGCCACAGTGACTGTAAAAGAGGTAAGACGATTAGCAATCCTGCCTGTGTTTGTAGAAAGAGTAGTACCACACACTCTACTACAAATACTGGTTGGTATAAACTCAAGAGGGAAATGATAGCCTTTCAATATCATGACACATGCAGTACAAAGTAATTAAGAGGCAATAAGAAAGCAAACATATACCTGCAGCTTACACGGACCGGACTTGTTACCTTCAGTGGCAATCAAAATATGATCATGAAGACTGTATATTACGCCATCAATGTTACAGGAGTTATAATAAGTCTTGTTGTCAATAGATTTGAGGCCATCACCAACCCAATCCACAATACTAGCTGTGCTGCAACCTAAGTATCTATCCTTACAATCCCCTACAGTTTCACGCTTAGAATAGATGTGTCCATTTGAAGTCACCTGATGAGCATTGTCATGGTCTGAGATGGCATCATCTGCCATAATTTTGTGTTTATGTGGCTTTCCTATCCCATCATTAGTGACTCCATCTGCTTGATGTATTTCATCAGTTGATGTTCTAGTGCTAGGCAACTGTTCATTTTCGCTTGGATGTCGGTAAGGTGTTCTGGTGTTCTCACAAGTCTCTATAGAAGAAACAATGAAAGAATGGTCTGTATGTTTTAAGCCAGAAAGTTCTGTAGACTGCAGATTGGAATAATTTACTGGATTTGCAGAACTCCTCTTGATATGCATATGAGACCCTCCTGACAGATTGCCAGAACCATATGTTGATGCTCTGGTACTTTGATCTCCATTGTATAATGTTGCAGTTTCTGTAGGTATGCCACCACAAGGTGGGTTATTTCCTTCCTTTTCTACAGATGAGGTTTCCTCGTATTTAACATTTTCCTTTTGAGGTTCAGCACCAGAGATTGATGGTGATTTTGAACCAGCATCTAAAGCCAATGTACCACTCTTGCACACAGGGCTGCCAACTTTGTTGGTGTTTTGATTGATGACACTTCCATTGCCTGCTAGAATTTTACTACAACTACTGCCACCCGTTTCAGTTGGGTTTTCTGCTGCTACTTGAGAAGGCTGTGCACCACCAGTCATACAAGTCTTTGGTGCAACTATAGTTCTTGTAACCTTGCCATATTTTGGAGGGAGGGGTTTGCCCTTACAATGGGCCACACATGTTGGACAATACCACTCAGTTTTTGGCAGGCCTTGATTCCCATAATGCTGAAGGCACTTTAAGTGCATGCCCCTCTCACAGGCATCGCAAACAAGCAAACTTTCCATATTCATGATAGCAACTTTACATATTTGACAGTCCAGTCTAGTATTCATATACTCAATTGAAGGCACAGTCCAGCTAGAGTGATTAGCAGGTCGGTGCAGAACCTGTTCAACATTTTTTGATATTGCCTTGTGGTTGGAGAAGATTGATTGTCTTTGAATAGGTAATTCCCTCTTAGGATCTTGATACCCCATAACAACACTTGATGTCACCGGGTGAACAGCACGTCCCTTTTTGGCCACAGATTTCTCTGCTTGACAGGAACTCTGTAAGGAAATTTGATTGGAACTGGTAGTGTGATGACCTGATTTATTTAACTCTACAATAGTTTCTTCACCTACAGTTGACATAGAGAAAATAATTTCAGATACAGAAGATTCAAAATCTTTCACTGCTACTCCCTCCATCCCTTCTTAAGGTGTCACCTAGATTTTCGTGCTCGAGCTTTCTTAAGTTTGACAAGATTTATAGAAAATATTAGTAACATTCGTATCTCCAAATAAGTGTATTATAAAAATATATTCAATGATTAAACTAATGATACCTATTACGAACCATAAATATTAATAATCTATTGAATATATTGGTCAAAGTTGAACACGTTTGACTCCTCAATATGTGAGGACACTTGAAAAGGGACAAAGGGAGTAGTTACTAATTTATTTTATTACTATCCTTTATTGTAACTTGGTTTTGTGGATCTTGTTGGGTATCTAGCCAACTCTAACTTGCTTGGGACCAAAAGCTTTATTCTTGTTGGGTGTATAGCTGTAGAAGATGATGTTGGGGCAATAAGCCACACTCTCAATGGGAGAGGGGCGCCTCTATTATAGGGCAGCTGCTGCTGCTATATATGGCAGTTTACAAATACAAGGACAGGAGTAAATCTCTGATCCTAATTGACTGGACTGCCTAAATATGCAATATACAATCTCCTATTGCCTAATATATGCAATATACAATCTCCTATTGCCTAATACCCGCCCGCAGCCGAAGCGGGGGGCTTGCGGACGCACAGGCTGGTTCTGAACTCTTGAAACAGTGGCGTTGGGAGCCCTTTTGTCATAATGTCAGCAAACTGATGAGATGAAGGAACATGAAGGACCCGAATCTCACCAAGAGCCACCTTCTCGCGCACAAAGTGAATGTCAATTTCAATATGCTTCGTGCGCTTGTGGTGGACTGAATTGGCCGTCATGTAGATGGCGCTAACGTTGTCGCAGAAAACCACCGTGGCCTGGGGCAGCGGAAGATGGAGCTCCTGAAGGAGTTGCCGCAGCCAACAGCACTCGGCCACAACGTGAGCCACAGCACGGTATTCTGCCTCAGCACTAGAGCGGGAGACCGTGGTCTGGCGTTTGGAGGACCAGGAGACCAGGTTGTCGCCGAGATAGACGCAGAAACCAGAAGTGGACCGCCTGGAGTCAGGGCAACCAGCCCAGTCAGCATCAGAGTATGCGGTCAGCGTCTGAACGGAGCCGGCGCCAATGTGAAGACCGGAGGATAGCGTGCCCTTCACATAGCGCAGAATGCGCTTGATCAGCGCACGGTGGGGCTCCCTTGGGGCGTGCATGAAGAGACACACCTGTTGAACTGCATAAGCCAGATCAGGACGCGTCAGAGTCAGGTACTGAAGAGCCCCTGCTAAGCTCCTGAACTCTGAGCTGTCCTTGTCTGACAGTTTGTCGCCGTCATGGGCGGAGAGCTTGGCCTGAGTGTCAACAGGGGTTGACGTAGGATGACACTCAGCCATGCCCGCCCGCTGGAGGAGATCGACGGCGTACTGTCGCTGTGACAGGAACAGGCCGTCGGGGGTGCGGGTGACGGCGACGCCGAGGAAGTGGTGAAGAGCACCCAAGTCGGTCATGGCGAACTCAGACTGGAGTCGGGCCATGAGTCGCTGCAGAAGAGCGGGAGTTGAGGCGGTGAGGATGATGTCGTCGACGTAGAGCAGCAAGTAGGCAAGACTCGTCCCCTCAGTGAGAACAAAGAGGGACGTGTCGGAGGCGGAGGTGACGAAGCCGAGCTGTTGAAGGAAGGCCGCGAACCGCTGGTACCAAGCACGCGGGGCCTGCTTCAGTCCGTACAGGGACTTCTGCAGGAGGCAGACGTGATCTGCAGCGGCGGGGTCGACGAAACCTGGTGGCTGCTGACAGTAGACCGTCTCGTCGAGGTGGCCGTGAAGAAAGGCATTCTTCACATCCAGCTGATGGATCGGCCAGGCGCGGGAGACGGCAATGCTGAGAACAGTCCGAATGGTAGCCTGTTTGACCACCGGACTGAATGTCTCGTCGTAGTCAATACCTTCTCGTTGGGAAAACCCGCGGACCACCCAGCGGGCCTTGTGACGAGCGAGGGACCCATCGGCATGGAATTTGTGCCGGAAAATCCACTTGCCCGTCACAACGTTCGCGCCAGGAGGGCGCGGAACAAGACGCCAGGTGTCGTTGTCGACGAGTGCCTGGTACTCAGCCATCATCGCAGCCCGCCAGTTGGCATCGGCCAGGGCGCTGCGGTAGTTCGCCGGTAAAGGCGATGGTGAGGGCGAGGAGGTGGCAGCGAGCCCCTCGTAGCTCACACGCGGGATGGCGCCGGTCCTGGTGCGCGTGAGTGGCGGAGATGGGGTTGCAGCCTGAGGCGCCGGTGCTGTAGGGACAGCCGATGGCGCTGGCACCGGCTGGGGTCGTCGACTGTAGGTCCGTGGGAACGGAGCCACAGGAAGGCCAGGCGGGGGCACGTGACCACACCCGCCCGGTGGTGGAGAAGCCGAACTGGGGCTAGGGGGCACAGGGCCGCGCCCCCCAGGCAGGAGAAGAGCCGGGTCCGGCTCATCATCAGGGGGCGGCTGCACACCGTCCAGGGTGGACGGAGCAACCGTGGTCGTTGAGGAGGGACCTCCACCTGCAGGAACAGTAGAGCAAGGCACCGAAACCGAATCGTTGTCTAGAAGGAAATCCAGGGAGCGAGGGAATGGGAGGACGCTGGCGGTGGAAAAAGGAAAAACAGTCTCATCGAACACAACATGGCGAGAAATAATGATGCGTTGAGTTTCCAGGTTAAGACATCGATAACCCTTATGAGAGGATGGATACCCAAGGAAAATGCATGCCATGCGGGCGAGGTGCGAGCTTATGTGGGGAGGTAGCACAGAGGTTTGGGTAGCATAGGCACCCAAAAACACGAAGGTGGTGTGGGGTGGGTGGCTGTCCATGGAGGCGAGTGAAGGGAACCTCATGGGATATGGAGGAGGAAGGCGCCTATTGAGTAAGTAGCAAGGTGCAAAGAAGGGCCTCACCCAAAGATGCAAAGCGGCATGGAAGCGTGGAGCAACATGGTGCGAATTGAGTTGTTGAGGGTGCGAATGGTGCGTTCCCGCCTTGCCATTTTGAGGGGAAGTGTATGGGGTGAGAGACGGAGAAGTGTTCCCCGAGCAGCGAAGAAGGTGGTGGTGGTCAGATTGATTGAATTCGGTGCCATTGTCGGTTTGGAAGCATTTTACAGGAGGTTAAATTGGGTTTGTGCAAGAGCGGTGAGCTCAACTAAGTGTTGGTGGACCTCGGATTTGCGTCGAAGAGGAAAAACCCAACAATAGTGATTTGTAATCATCCAGCAGACTAAATAGTATGAAAACCAGATATGCTAGGTATTGGAGAGGTCCAAACATCACAATGAATTAGGTCAAACGGGGCATGAGAACAAGACCGAGAGGCATCAAGGGTAGACGCCAGATATGCTTGCCTAGTTGACATGAATGACGAGAGGAGCGGTCTACTTTATTACAAGAAACAAAGATGTATTTTATTTAATCATTGTAATGCAAAGAGGGCTGGATGGCCAAGACGCCGGTGCCACGAGGTCGACAAAACAGCCCGAGAGAGCATGTGAAGAGGCGCCAATGTGATCGGAGGATAGCAGGTATGGTGTAGAGATCACCGGTACTATTGCAAATGATGAATCACGCGTCCCCGTCTGGGTATCCTTAATGAAAAACCAAGAGCGTCAAATTCAAGAGAGCAAATGATTTTCACGGGTGAATTGACGAACGGATAAAAGATTACTGGACGAGGAAGGGGGCGACGAGAATGTTATTGAGGGAGAAGTTTGTTTGTGGCGGTGGGAAGGATGGAGTGACCTCTAGACGTGACCGGAATGCTAGTGCCATTGCCTCATCGTTATAGAGGAGGTGGAGGGGGTAGGCGCCGGAGGAGCATACCATCGGAGGGCGCCATGTGGGATGAAGCGCCGAGTCAACAACCCATGAGGGGCTGCCTCGATAGTCAAGTCTTTGCAGGCGCAGAATGAGGTCGGCCGAGTCCCATGTCGGTCCACCAAAGTGTTGTTGGAGGAAGCTCGGCGAAGCGAACGCCAGTGCGCGCTGAGGAGAGGCACCGAGCACCCCTGTTGGCGTGGGGGCTGCCATGTGTGGCTGCCAGGTGCCGGAACCGCCTCGTCGCGCCCTCGAGGAGGTATGACGCGCTTCACGGGGTTGACACGCGCACCAGTCAAGGATCAAAACCCTGTGGCTGACGCTTCTTTATCACGCCGAGGGTTGTCGCGGCGGCCGCCGCTGTTGTGTTGTTGGCGCGCTTTATTCTTCTGCGCGATTCTTGCCGCGTGGGCGCGACTTCTCTTCTTGAGGACTCGGCCGGGGCGCGCACTAGGGGCGCCGGTGAAGGCGCGAGAAGGGTTGAAGCGGCGCGGACCTTGTCCTCGTTCTTGAGACGCAGCCTCCTTGAGGAGGAGTTGGTTCTCGGCAACAAAGAAGGTGAGAGGTTCTGGCGGCGATGTTGTCGGCGACGGATTGGTACTTCTCGTTGAGGCCGCGGAGCAGGTTGAGGACGAGGTTGGACTCGGTGATGGTCTGCCCGACGTCGCGAAGATTGTCGGCAGCCTCCTTCATGCGCGCACGCATGATTTCGCCGATGGAGGAGTCGCCAGGGTCAACGAGTGGAACTTCGTGACTTAGGAAAACAATGCTGGGCGCCTTGTTAGCTTGGTATAGGGCGGCGATGGCTGTCCGTAGCTGGCGGGCGGGCGGTCTGGCCGGGCGCCGGTCATAGCGAGGTTGAGGACGGAGTCGGAGACGGTGCGAAGATCCAATCTGCGGATGCAGAAGTCACCCTGCACCCATGCATCATCGGTGGGCGTGGGGAGACGACGTCAAGGTGCGAGAGCAGCCCGAATTTGCCACACATGGCGTTGAAAGTCGTGGACCACTTGGTGTAGTTGGAGGGTCGCACTTCGAGGTCATGGGGATGTGGGTCTTGACGCTTACCATAGCATATGGGCAAACGGTTGGGTTTATGGCTTCAGCCATGGCTGGAGAGGTGGCGGAGGATTCTGTGGTCATGATGGCGCGTACTGCTGCTTGGCGGCGCAGCAAGGTTAAGGCGGCACTTTCGGGAGAGAGCGGCGCGCAGCTTGAGGGAGGAGAGGAGGGCCAAGATCAGATTGCTCGATTACCATGTAGAAGATGATGTTGGGGCAATAAGCCACACTCTCAATGGGAGAGGGGCGCCTCTATTATAGGGCAGCTGCTGCTGCTATATATGGCAGTTTACAAATACAAGGACAGGAGTAAATCTCTGATCCTAATTGACTGGACTGCCTAAATATGCAATATACAATCTCCTATTGCCTAATATATGCAATATACAATCTCCTATTGCCTAATAATAGCAGATTCAAAAAAATAAGTCTTGGATTCAAAATCGAAATGTACAGTAATGCCTAAGTGTGAATATATTTTTTTTCCCGTAAAATATTTATCTTGTCGAATACACAGATCTGTGTATCATTGCATTAAGAGAGAAAATGTGACCAACCTAGGAGGAACTAGGAAGTTTTTCATTAAGAAGAAAGTAGGCACCCAAATTTGAGCTGGAGAGGGCTCGAATCTGGATGGTTCGGTGCATGACAACACCACCCACCCAAACAGTTGAGCTAGGCTGACTTCCTAGTTAAAAATGAGACCAACCTGGGAGGACCTAGGCGGGTTTCCAAATAATAATAAGAAAATAGGCACACAAATTTGAGTTGAAGAGGACTCGAACCTGGGAGGTTGGTGCATGACCACACCTCCCACCCCAATGAGTTAAGCTAATAAAGAAATTTATATCTTCCTATCTGCTTTTGCCTCCCTCCAATGCGGAGAATAGGCACAAGACTGTAGAGCAGTTTCCTTTTCAATGTAGATAACAATGGTACTGTAATCATTCTATAAATACATTTGCAACCTAACATTTAGGATACAAGGGGTGACATTGATTTAAAAATATGAATGCTATGTGAACAAAGGTTCACCATTCAGAGATTGGCAAGCACACGTAAAAAATGTTACTGTCCATTTAATTTATTCATAGATTGGATTCTGAAAAACAAATCATGCAATCAGGATATCTCTCTCATTCTCTACAGACCAATAAACATAGGTAAACATTTTGCACTCCTAGGAGTATGTTACTCCTACTATATGTACTCACTATGTTTATGAATTCTAAGTATCATGGACTTTTATACGGCACAGAAGGAAACTGTTCTCCTATCGCATTGTGCCTTATCTTAGGTTTACATATTGCAAAATATACATGACCAGTACAGACTACAGAGCTACACGACATGCCAATTTGCATGATGTTGTGATGTACCAGTGGAAGGAACTATTTCTAGGAGGATGGTAACAGCTTCCAAAGAAACATATTTATCTTAGTGCATGGTCACATTTTTATATGGGGACATATCAAGTGCCAAACATGAGCTGTGCAGCTGTGATCAATTTTTTCTTAAGCGAAACAAACCAACACAAAATGACCTAACATCTGAGAAGTTATTATACATGTGTTCTCTCAACCTTCTTCTATAAGTTTAAACTTAAAAACAAAGAGAAATAAAAAGATTCACTGCAGACAGGGCCTCTTGTCATTTCACTATTTTGTTTGTTTGTATTCTGTCAGGATTTTACATTTTGTTTCTATGAACAAATCCACCTTCATAATTAGTCAAGTTTGCCAAATTGCAAATGGATCTAGACAAGTATAAATAGACCCATCTCATACATAAACATTAAGCATGAGTGGTCTTATGGGCAGATCCGTTATAGCCTGGATAGTGGGATGGTTAAAACATGTGAGTACCTCGGTTTTGTGTGGAATCTGAACCATTAACAACAATTTGCTTTTTGACATCTGCAGAGCCTGTTGGCAGTGAAACAGCAGAAGGATTGCTAGGTAATTTTACAGAAGATGCCCCTGCTAGTGTTCCATTTACCAGGGGATGCTTCGAGATAACTTGGGATACCATCGGGGTTGACAGAGTCTTGGGCGATCCACTGGTGACCTTAGAAGCTCCATGCTGGAATCCATTTTTTGCACTTGAGGCTGTCAATTTAGAGACAGTAGTTGAAGGGGCAGAAGCATCCTTCCCTTCCATCTACTTAAGGGATGAATAAGGAAAGAGAATAAAAGATCAGTAAAGAGGCATCAAACTTGTATGGAATGCTCTGAGCCAATGATGGTACAATTTAACTATGTTACAGTATATATAACAGATTAGCATATTTGAAGTACTGCGATGAGAGATTATACCCAGAGCTTTATCATAACAAATAAGGGAATCAAATGGAAACCTAAAATTCAGAAGCACTAGCATATCCAGAGAAAAAATATATCCAATTATTCATTTTTGTCATGCGATGCCCAGTGTATTTATACCTAAACTTTGTACATGGTTCCATTTGTAGTCTTGATGCTCACGATGTGCAAAATCATACTATAATATCTTGATGTGAAATACTAGATCTAGCATTCGTTCAGTGAATTGCAATACATGGCTTGCTCATTTCTTGGTTTAGCATACAATGCATACTAAATGAAAATAATTTAGTTCGAAAGAAAAGGCCCTGCATATCACTAGTATGCATCAAGTCAGTGGCCCTATACTGTGTCACTATGGACCTGTTTGGTTGGGTTGCTAACCCCCAACCAAGCTCCAGGAAGCCACCTTTGGGCCGTTTGGTTGCCTGTTTGTAGCCCGAAGCCAAGCTCCAGGAAGCCACCGACCACCCTCTAGCCTGGCTCTAGGAAAACGCAGGGGCTGGCCGTTTTTGGGAGCCAGGCTTGGCCAGTGCCCGGTCTCCAATCCCGTCACCTCCCGGTCCTTCGCACGCGGTCGAGTAGAGAAGGCACGTGAGATCCGCCTGCTCCTCCCCGCTGGAGCGCCTGGCCACCACACGCCGGAGGTCCCTTGCTCGTCCTCCCCGCTGGTGGTCCCCTGGTCGTCCTCCCCGCCGGAGCGCCTGGCCACCACCCGCCAGAGGTCCCCTGGTCGTCCTCCCCGCCGGTGGTCCTTTGCTCCTCCTCCCTACCGGAGCGCCTGGCCACCACCCGCCGGAGGTCCCCTACTCGTCCTCCCAGCCGGTGGTCCTCTGCTCGTCCTCCCTGCCGGAGCGCCTGGCCACCACCCGCCACTCGCCATCCTCCTTCGCTGTCGATCCGGCCATGGGCAACCAAGGGGAAGCTCGGCGAGGTAATGTGGGAGCACCGGGTGCAGGCTGCTGTAGCGGTGGGGTTCATGGCCGCGGCTGCCGTCTCGATCTCCACCGTCGGGCCCAGGCTCAGCGCCGTGGTGTCATTCTTCTAGCCACTGCTCCTCTCCACGGGCTTCTTCCTGGTGGCGGTCGCCGTGCTGCTCCGGATCTCGCAGGCCCGGCCCCGTATACGCTACTCGTTCCCGCCCGCTGGAGCACATGCTCGTCTGCTTCTCCACGTGCGCCACCACTCGAGCGCGTGATCGCGCCACCGCGCCGCTTGGCCGCGTGCAGCGAGACAGCATGCAAACCAGCTGTTCGATGAAATGCCTGACAAGGGTAACCTTACCGGAATAAAGAAGAGGTAATCCGATGCAATGCAAACCTGACAACCAAACACACCAAATGCTAGCCAGGCTTAGACTATGCATGCAACCAAACAACTACAGATTGGCTTGCTAGAAGCATGCTTCGGCTGCCCAGGCTCCAATCCTAGCGAGGCTGCAACTAAGGAAGGAAACCAAACGCACCCTATATGGCATTGCCATAAAGCAGGTAGTAATAAAACTAGCTGCTGTTCCAACTCATTGCATCGAATCAGATATAGTTTGAAGTGAGGCTAAATAACAAAATCATGGCCCAGTCGCTCATGCACAAGGTGAGGCTAACTATCCAAAAATCTGAATCAAGGATACGCAGTGCTGCCGGAAAGGGAACGAGCGCTGAATTATAAACGATCAGAGAAGAGGTGTCAGCGCCAAACCTTGCGCTTGGTGAGGCGGACCCTATTTGCAATGGAGGCCTTGAGCGGGCGATACCCGAAGACCGCGGGATCCCTGGCGCGGGTGAGCCCGAGGTCCTCGACGAGCGCGCGCACCGCCTCACGCGGGAACAGCTCCCTGGGCCGCAACTCCACCTCCCCCATCACCGCGGCGGCCAGCGATCCCCGCGCCTCAGCCACAAGTGCGCTCTCGGCCGCCGTCGGGGCCCAGCCCCCCCGCGCCTTCCCCGCGGTCGCCAGCACCATCACGATCTCCGCCACCCGGCCCAGCTCCCCGGCCCCGCGCCGCCGCTTCCGCCCGATCCCCATCGCGCGCTGGCGGTGAAGGCGGAGGCGAACCAACCCTAGGTGGAGGAGGAGGAGAGCGAGGACGGGAGAGGGGTTTTGGAAGGTTCCAGAACTGAGGCGGGGAGTTTGGAAAGCTTGCTTGGCGTGGCGCCGTGGCGCCTGCTTGGAAGAGATGGGGAGGTGGAGGTGGTGATGGAAAGCTTGCTTGGCGTGGCGCCGTCGCGCCAGCAGCGACGCCGAAAGCCCGAAATCGCGACTGTAGGAGAAGTGGTGAACAGGAGTAACGGCCTAACGGGGGGCCGAGTGTCAGCCGCCAGCTAAACTGATCTCACCAGTAACATTTTTTTTTTCCGAAGGAAGGTAATTATATTGAGAAAAAAATCGGCATAGTTTCCCAAATTACATTTGAAAAAATCAAATAAAAAATATATGATATTCTATATAGATTTTTCATCGTCTTCTTTCCCGATGGCTTTCCTCGATGCAGCCGATCCTCTAGATGAATAGAGTCTTATTGAACGCCGGAGCCAAAGTACACTTCTGTCGAATCCAACGACCAACCCCAAACATTAGACATACCGCAAGATCTACGTTTCGAAACCAATCCAAGACGCATCTAAATCGATGAAAAAAGATCACCTCCAATCCTTGATTTTCTCTCCGCAACCATCGACGATGAGATCGATGTCCCGAGATAACTATCCTCGTTGGGAGTGCCCAGGAGCACCCCTCTCCTTGCAAATAATGGCCACAGTTGGTTATCTACCGATAAAATCGACGCATGCAACGACGATCTCGTCGTAGCAATCACCAAAGTCATAGCAGATAACAAGATCCGGACCGAAAATCATATGAATTCGTTGGTAGATATATTTAGGCTAAACCCTAAGCAACTAGATATAAAAACTAAAAAAAAAGAGATATGTCCTGTCTCCCCTCTCCTTATCACCGGCAGACGCACTCGAGAGGAAGGAGAGGGGCCCTAGGAGGCGGCGGCGGTGAGGAGTGAGAGCTGCGGTGGCAGCGTGTTTTTCTGGCTACGGCGTGTAACTTTCGGTGACCAGTTACCTCCCCTCGAAAAGGCAAAATTTTTAGAAAATTCGAATGAACCACTTCATCCTTTGAAGTTTGGATATGATTTACAGTGAAATACTCACCCATTCAAAAAAAATATAACTATGGTATCCATGTGCGTTAAAGTAGTTCAACATTGACCAAATTTATAGTGAATATTATTTATATTTATGTTTTTAAATCGATTTATTATAAAAGTATATTTCATAATTAATCTAAGGATATTTATCTTATATTATAAATGTATTTTTGTATAAATTTGGTCAAACTTGAAAGCACTTGGTTTTAAAACGTGAAAATTGCATTCTTTTCTAGACCGAGGGAGTACCAACTATTTTAAACAAGTTTATGTACCCTGATCTACAGTTTTAAAATTGATAGACCTGATGTTCATGACAAATTTGAGGACCGTCCACACACTTAAACTCCAATATATAGCAGGAAACTCAAACCTCACTTTCATTTCATTTAAAATATGGAGAAAATTTCATGTCCGGTGGGTTTTTAATCGGGGGTTTTTAATGCCATCATTTTTTCCTTTTCAATTAAAATCCTCCACTTTTATAAGCTGTTCATCTTATCCAACCTCCATTCCAGAGCTGTAAAGGATTTTGTGCTGTGGGTAACTTTGATTACCTAAGATAATGTGCACAGATGTCTGAGTTCGTATGTACATCATTCATGAATTGGTAGAATTGAATGTCAATAACATTTATAACGAGATGTTATGTATTTTTACAATAATATACACATATGTGCAAGTGTTGTACTTCAACGCTAAAATGAAATGCGCAAGGCCTGCTTTGCGGCCCAGACACGCACTTCCCTGTATCACATACGTGATAAACTCGTCAAGCTGCTTGCGTTGAAGGTGACATCAGAACAAAGCGTCAGCTGCTCAGCAGAGGTTAAAACGTAGACGTCTTGGAGTGTGAAACCGTGAACCACGGGCAAGATAAATCCATTCCCAAGCCGTGAGTTCAAATAGGGCATGCATACTGTGTTCAGGAAAACACGAATCACTCCCTGAAAAGGTAACATTTTGTTATGATCAATTCAGCAAACCAAGCATGATTAGAACAAATCATTCTTTGACAACAATCTTCTGATGACTACAACAATCATGACCCTAAAAACAAGTCAAATAAACAAGAGAAAAATGCACAAAGATTGCTGAGATTGACTACCTGAATCAAAGACATATGGAAGTTCCCAATTTTACTCCACTTCAACGCAAGGGAGAAATTATCTAATCCAACTCTACCATATACTTTATTGCCTAATGCATCCACAACACCTGAAGCACTGACAATCTGCAAGGAATTATATGATTAAACACGACCGGAAGATACAATACAAATATATGGTAAATAAATAACAAAGAGATTGGTTAAAAGAATTAACAAAAAATAGTCTGAAATTAAGACGATCTTTTAAAAGTATGTATTAATGAATTATTTTTCTTTATTGTCTCTCTTGGAGCAATGGTTAAAAAACATCATATACTGATTTTAGCATTTGATGGCTCTTACCACTGAGATGCATGCAACTGGAACTATCTCCTTGCCATCTACAACATCAATTACCATATCTGCGTTAATGGTAGCTTCAATTTTTTCTGATGTAATCCTTATCACTGGGGATGAGGCCATTGAAATATTTAGCAGCATATCGTCATTTGGGTAATTCCAGTATAAACGAGGAATGATAAATTTCCAATTAGCTGTGTTCAGTAGAGACTGATCAGGGACTTTGTCAACAACCCAATGCATTGAACCAGCCTGAAGCCAAAAATGTGTTCATGTAAGTTTCAGTCAATATATAATTGTAGAATGCAAATATGGAACATTCTAGAAGCAAAATGGTATCCTACATAATGTTGCTCTTTCTTACCTTAAAATGAACTTCTAATGCTGAATTCAATACATCTTCGTCAAGTGAAAGCAAAAGCATTTTTGATGCACCACCACAAGCCAAAGAAAGCTGTGGATGCTTCTGCAGATTGGTTGTCTTAGCAACTGCTGAAGTAACCAACCCATTGATATCGAACTCAATTGAAGAATTGCCATAGTGTGGATCATTAATGAAAGTCATGTTGAAGGCAGCAACGTCGTCCAGACTGATGGTCCTGGGGAGACCTTGCAGAAAGGAGTCCAGTTTCCCAGCACCTTCAATGATATTTTCAGGTATTGCCTTCTCAACTGCAGCTCTAATATGATCTTCAAAAGCATTTATAAACCTTCGGACAAGTAGACAATACAACAAAGTGGATTAAGTATGAACTTTTGCTTCTTGATGTGTCCAAGCCCAACTATATAAAATCCACGGAACTCTGGTAAACTATATATCGTCGGAATTCAGTCCGGGACACCATCCTTTCTAGTAATGCAGATATTGTATGTCTCCAAGAAACAAAGGTTGCTGACTTATCTCAGCGTCTTTTTCTCTCGGTGTTTGGATCATCTTTCGATAATCATATTGCCCTTCCGGCCAATGGAACTAGAGGTGGTGTCTTAATTGCCTGGAAAGGGTGCTCCTGCCAAGCCATTGCTACCAGAGTGGACACCTATTCAGTTTCAGTCCTGTTTTCCGAGCAAGAAGGTCGCAATTGGTGGTTTACTGGGGTTTATGGGCCTCAAGGTGATGATGAGAAGGTTCTCTTCCTGCAGGAGCTCAGGGATATTCGCGCTCTTTGCAATGGGCCTTGGTTAGTAGCTGGGGACTTTAATCTCATTTATCAAGCCGCTGACAAAAACAATGCAAACTTAGATAGAGCAATGATGGGCAGATTCAGGCGCTTTCTGGATGATATGGAGGTAAAGGAGATTCCCCTGCTTGGTCGAAAATATACATGGTCAAATGAGAGGCAATCACCTACCTTGGTCAGGCTAGACAGAGCTTTCTGTTGTGTAGAATGGGACGGTATCTTTCCTGAATCTATTTTGCAAAGTACGACAGCAGGAGTATCTGATCATTGTCCACTCATCCTTGGCCTCAAAGTACACACTGGTGGCAAACGGCGGTTTCATTTTGAAAGCTTCTGGACCAAGGTGCCTGGCTTTCAAGAAGCCGTTAAACAGAACTGGGAGGCTCCTGTGCAGTCAAATTGTGCAGTTGAGCGCCTATTTCTGAAGTTACAAAGGCTTAGCAAAGGGCTACAAAAATGGGGACAGAGGAAGGTGGGAAACATCAAACTCCAACTAAAAATGGCCAAGGAAATCCTCCATCGCCTAGAAATTGAACGAGATTCTAGGGAGTTAACTGGAAACGAGGAGTGGTTGCGGAAAAAGCTAAAGCTCCACTGTCTTGGTCTGGCTTCCCTAGAAAGAACAATTGCTCGGTTGCGATCTCGAATTTTATATCTCAAAGAAGGGGATGCCAATACATCTTTTTTCCATCAGCAAGCAAGGTTCAGGAAAAAGAAGAATTTTATCCCCAAACTGAAGGTTGGTGAGGAGATAGCAGTATCACAGGAGGATAAACAGGCTGCCGTCTTTAATTTCTATGAAAATCTTCTAGGAAAAGCGGAAGATAGAGATTACACTATTGACTTGGGTGAGATAGGCATACAGCAGCATGAACTTTCTCTTTTGGACGTTCCTTTCTCGGAAGAAGAGGTGTGGGCAACTATAAAAGACATGCCCATGGACAAGGCCCCAGGGCCAGATGGTTTCACTGGTAGATTTTATAAATCCTGCTGGAATGTTATCAAGGGTGATCTGCTAATGGCTCTTGATGCTATCTATCGAGGCCATGTGTTCAAATTCAGACTCCTGAACAGTGCCTTCATCACGTTATTGCCTAAGGTGCAGGATGCTGTCCAAGTAAAGGATTTTTGGCCTATAAGTTTGGTGCACAGCTTTGCCAAACTGGTGACTAAGATCATGGCGAACCGGTTGGCCCCTGTCCTACCAAATCTGGTATCCCCAAACCAGACTGCTTTTGTAAAGGGTAGGCGAATACATGATAACTTTATGTTTGTCCAGCAGATGGTTAAATGCCTGCACAAGAACAAGAAAAAAGAGGCTCATATTCTCCTCAAGCTTGATATTTCTAAGGCTTTTGATTCTGTTTCTTGGTCATTCTTGCTAGAAGTCTTGGGCCATGTGGGTTTTGGACAGCGGTGGATGAATCTTTTATGTCTGCTCCTGTCAACTTCCTCCACTCAAGTCTTGGTGAATGGGGAGCCGGGTGAGACAATTTTTCATAGGCGAGGTCTCAGGCAGGGAGATCCTCTCTCTCCCATGCTTTTCATTATTGTCATGAATGTCCTAAATTCCTTGATGGAGTATGCTACTCGGGAGCAATTGTTGCAGCCATTATCTATGCAGCAGGTCCAGCATCGGGTTTCTTTTTATGCTGATGATGCAGTTGTTTTCCTAAGGCCAAGAAGTGATGACTTGTATTTGATGAAAGAGCTGCTGGACCGTTTTGGACATGCTTCCGGACTCCGAACCAATCTGTCCAAAAGCTCGATTTCTCCCATTCATTGCTCTGTTGATGAAGTGGCCACTACAGCTGATATCTTATCCTGTACCATCAAGGAATTTCCATGCACCTATCTTGGGCTCCCTCTCACAATTGGGAAACCCACCAAGGAGGATTTGCTACCAATAATTGACAAGGTGGCAGATTACTTGCCGGGCTGGAAAGCCTCATTAATGAATCGAGCGGGAAGATTGGTAATGGTTCGAGTAGTTTTAACAGCTGTTCCCATTTACCTTTCGATCGCCATGGACTTGCCAAAATGGTTTCTGAAGGCTATTGATAAGAAAAGGAGAGGCTTCCTTTGGAAAGGCCAGGAGCAGGCTAATGGTGGTAATTGTTTGGTCGCTTGGGAAAGGGTGCAGCGGCCTCTTGAATATGGTGGCCTTGGGATCCATAACTTAGAACTCCTTGGCTGCGCTTTAAGGATTCAATGGCTGTGGGCTGAGAAAACTGATCCATCAAGACCATGGGCTGGTCTTCCAGTACAAGTCCCCCGCAAGGCTCAGGCCCTCTTCAATATTGCCGTAGATGCCATAGTAGGGAATGGTGAGAAAATTCGGTTCTGGACAGATAGATGGTTAAACGGTCACACCTTGGCTGAGTTGGCCCCCAACCTGTTTAATGCTGTCCCCAAACGTACAGCCAAGAGACGTACTGTTGCTCAGGCACTCCAGAACAGAAAATGGGTAGATGACATCAGGGGAGCTCGCACTGTACCAGTCCTCGTCGAGTACCTGCAGCTCTGGGACTTGGTGGATGGATTTTTTTTGCAGCAACAGGTTCCAGATCAATTTACTTGGAAGCTAGCCCAATCTGGTTTATACACAAGTAAATCAGCTTATGCTGCCTTCTTTGTGGGAGCCATCAGGTTTGGTCCTTGTAGAAGAATTTGGAAAAGCTGGGCGCCTCCTCGTTGCAATTTTTTTATCTGGTTGGTTTTCCACAATCGGTGTTGGACGGCCGATCGCCTTGCGAAGAGGGGATTGCCCCATCCTGAGGCTTGCCCTTTGTGTGATCAAGCTGAGGAGACTATTCATCATATCCTGGTTGGTTGTGTATTCACTCGTCAATTATGGGCTCGAATCTTCCAACACTTGGGTCTCAGTTCTCTATCGCCAGAACCTACAGCATCTCGTTTCTCTAAATGGTGGTGGAAGGCAATATCGTCAGTGTCCAAGGAGGAACGGAAGGGTCTCAACTCCCTGATAATTTTGATAGCCTGGGAGGTGTGGAAGCACCGTAACTCATGTGTGTTTGAAAATGCCACGCCAAGCATCCAGAAGGTTCTTAGGGCTGTCAGCACTGAGGGCAATCTTTGGTGCAGGGCTGGAGCAAGAAAGCTCCAGGAACTCTTGGTCAGGGAGCCGGCCGTGGGGGTATAAGGCAGGCGGTTTTTGTCTGGTCGACAAGAATTTAGTTTGTGGCGCGCCTGTTTTAGTTAAGTGAATGGGTGTGTGTTGGTGGTGTTTTGTACTTGAGTAGGGTCTATTTAGACTCGTGTATTTTATTCTACCTTAATAAAATGACGCGCAGCTCTCCTGCGTAGTTCGAAAAAAAAATGTTTTTACATGCGTATGTACAAATGTGCAATACCAACAACAACAACAACAAAGCCTTTAAGTCCCAAACAAGTTGGGGTAGGCTAGAGTTGAAACCCAGCAGAAGCAAACAAATGTGCAATACCAATGTAAATAAATGACACCAATATCATCTCTTTGCAGATGACATTTAAGTGTAAGCATCCAAGGAAAGGACTCAAAACTAAACAAAAACACTCAATAGAATAGATTACCTTTACTCGATATATTACCCTCAGTTTAGTTAGTATGACACATTTACTGAATTTAAAGTATAGTGAAATCAATGCGATAAATGCAAAAATAAATACAGCAAATATCATAATTTTTGTCCAGGAGCTTGAGATGTAGTGCATGCCAAGAGGCACATAAAACATGCAGATCTCACTCGAATGTAGGTAAAACCATAGAAACAACCACGTATTGCAGCAAAAGATAAGTAAAGTATTCTTTACTAAATGAGAGATCACTTTCAGAACACTAACAGTGGGGGCTTCCCCTGCTGTTTTTTCGGGTAAAAAAAAAACACTAAATACTCAATCCTCAGACATTAATACAATTTTACCTTGACACATTTTTAAAAGAAACAGTGCATGAATTCATCTACAAAGTTGCAAAAGGAAAGCATACCCTTGATAAAACCAAGATGCTCCACCATCCAGGGATATCACTAGGTCCTTCACATAACAACCACACTGCGAAGCAGACAGAGCCAAACTCCCATTGTTGTTCTTTATAACCATGGTTATCCCAACTTCCATTCCTTGAACCTTATAAATATAGAAGGATAGTTTCTTCCTCTCAGTAAGCAGAATAAAAGATGTCAAAACTTAAAAGGTAGAGCAGTAAGCATACTAAAACAGTGTAGCATAAGTCATAGCTAGATAAATCCTCAATAAAGAAGAAAATTATCCATCAAGAGTTGTTGCTGGAATACAAAAGAAATTTTTTTTTTCCCACTGGAGGATCAAACTATTAAAGAAGTGGAATTAAGGGGTAAACAAAGATTGTAATAGCCATAAATAGACTATAACCGACAAGTTACCGATGTCCAGTAGGTACTGTGTCATCATAGACAGCCAAACTAATAGTATTCGAAAGTAACCAGCCAAATAACGACCTAGGAACAATTATACCCAGAATTGTTTTATACCATGAGTTAATGATTATTCAAATATTTATTTACATAGTCCATCAAAAATTTTGTTGAAGCACACAAGCATATCTAGAACTGATTGATGATTGATATCTTGAAAAAAAAATCAAATACTGGAAGATTTGCAGCATGATCCACCATTCTAACTTCAAACAGGACATGCCATGTATCACTTGTGTTGCTGCCTTATCGGAAGACTATTCTTGACAGAAATAGGGGAAGTACAACTTAACTAAATATGAAAACTAATGAAGATTCATGGAAGAAAGGCAACCACACTAATTTGATAGAAGCATGTAAACTAGATGATGTCATTCCTATCCAATGTACACTAATATCAACTGACTAAATGTTCTTTGCGTCCCATTAATTGGGATTGAACTAATAAAGGATCTAAGAAGATAACTGTCCTCCTAAAGCCAAAATTTAGTCAAGATGTGTTCTTAAGAGGTTCACCAGACCATTGTTAGAATTTCTTATAAAGAAACTTCATCAAGAGAGTATATCCACACGTGCTAACTCTGTATGCTCAGATTTCTATAAGAAGCAAAACTGTCCCCTCATTGCAACAGCACAGTAAGTCAAACATTTACATATGTGTTGGGTATCGATATTAGGGATACCCAAAGCAAGGAAGTTAGCGCCCACGCTGACTTCCCCGGATGGCTCGAGGCGTATTAAAAGGTCTCGCCCGACCCCAAGGACGCGGATTCCGTCTCGCCCAAGACCGCGGGCTCCGTCTTACCCGACCTCGAGGCCGCGGGCTCCGTCTCGCCTGACCCCTTGGGTGCGGGCTCCATCTCGCCCGACCCCAAGGACGCAGTTTCCATCTCGCCCAAGGTCGCGGGCTCCGTCTCGCCCGACCTCGAGTACGCGGGTTCCGTCTCGTCCGACGGGGACACATACCGCCGCCAACCACTCCAGGTCCAAGCGTATGGGCCTGGGTCAAAACTCTGACGCCAGGGAAGAGGCTGGCACGCCTCGATGTAACCCGTGCCCACGACGGGCCATACCTGGGGATTCACATCAAGAACGGTGTTGGGCATGCTGGTGTTGTTCTGCCTAATCCTCGTACGGACGCTGACAGGCGCGTCAGTTCACCACGACGTCTGCCGGGACGGAGTGGAATGCCATGACCGGAAGATGACGCCTGCGCATGGCGCCAGTGACGAACATGGCCGCGACATGGAGCCGTCCCTGTTGACATCTACAGAATCGCCGGGACCCGCATGAAGGAGAAGAAGGACTCGGCAACCCTGGAAGCCTTCTTCTCTCTCGTTCTTCTCCTTTTCCTCCTCTGTAACCCGCATTTTCCCTTTGCTTATAAAAGGGGAAGCAGGGCGCCCCATGAAAAGGGAGAGATCTGGACACAAGAGCACGACACGAGCATACGGCTGAGCGGCAAGCGAGCTCTCAGCACCCGTTCACTCCTTCCACCAGAGACTTGGGATCCTCTCTCTCTCGCCTGTTTGTAACCCCTACTGCAAACCAAGTGCCGGTAACACGAGCAGTAGCGAACTGGACGTAGGGACGTTCCGCCCGAACCAGTATAAACCCTTGTGTCCTCCGAGCACAACATCCGAGCCAGACGCGCAAATACAAATTTACTCGTCGGTGGTCGGAAAACACCGACAGTTGGCGCGCCAGGTAGGGGCTTTTTGCGCGTCTCGACGTCCACATCAGGCCTCGGATGGTTAGTCACGGCGTCAGCTGGGTCCCGGGCGTGCACGTGCGCTTCGGGAACCTGGATTTCATCGTTGCGACAGAGGGAGAGTTGGCGTAGGTTCCCGCTGCCGTCCAGCCCCTCCACTCTGCCGGCCTCGACGCGATCGCCGAGGCGCTTGAGGAGCTGCAACTATACGCACCGGAGGCCCGTGCCCCCGGGAGCGACCAGCTCCTTGGCTTCAGGAGGCTAGAGCGCCAGCTTGGCGCCTTCCTGGGACCCCGACCGTCCCGGGAGGACCTGCACCGCCTCACCTTCTCGTTCGCCAACGTCATGACGCAACTTATCGGAGGAGAGCCGCTCTCTCCGGAATACCTCATCCGGAGCACCCCGATAGCGCTTCCGTTCGGTCTGCGCAACGCCGCAGAGACCGTTGGCCAACTTGTGGTGCAGCGCACGCCCCCATCCCCTACGAACGACGAGTATGTAAATATAACTTTTATCTAAAAAAACATATGTAAATATAACTATATAAGGTAACCTCGATTCCAAGCGAAGAATAGGACAGGGGTGAAACTGATTTGTATTTGGTGGCAGTTTGGGTAAATAATGTGACATATGGGGTAGGACGGTGGTGATAGTAGGCATACGCATACCAACACAGCCAACTATACAACGTTTGAAGTAGTAGAACTACCAAATCTAAGTACAATTTCACATAAAAATCTAGAACAATCAGCAACAGCTATGGATACCCCCACCCCCTCCCAATTACCAGGATCGAGGCGGTTCCGCTGTCGGCGATCTCTATGGGAAACAACCACGAATCGTAGCAGTAGCTCCAGTGCATACTGATGTTGGCGGTGATGCCGGAGGCGACGACGAGAAGGCCCGAGTCCCCGGGGAAGATAGTGGAGTTGTCCCCGACATCTAGGTGGAAGAGCGTGATGTTGGAGGCGGCGACGCGGACGCCGCCGAGGAAGGGCACGCGGACGGCCTTCTCCACCCCAGGGAGGCGCAGCGGGGTCAGCGACCGCACGGCCTCGCCGATAAGCACGTCCTTGGCGAAGGCCAGGCCCTTCTCCGCGACCGCGACGGAGACGTGCGCCTCGTCGGCGCCGCTGGCGGACGCCGCGGCGGCGGCGGTGAGGAGGAGGAGGGGGAGGAGGAGGTGAAGGGGACAGAGACAAGCCATGGTTGATTTGGGGTGGACGCCTAGACGGTGGAAGCGTAGAAGGAAGGTGTAGTAGTGATTGAGTCGAGAGGACGGCTTGTTAAACTTCCGGTTGTACTAGCAAACTTCCTAAAAAAGAAGAAGAAAGAAGGAAAGAAGAACTTCCGGTTGTAGGTCGTTTTTCTCCTAATAATCTATTTGAACTACTTTATTACAGTTCTAATAATATGGAGTATCAGATAATTACACTGTTCAAATATATTTCAGAATGAATTTAACCATCAAACAGTTGCACGAGTTTAATTTTAGCATCAAACTCACACGCCGAAAATTTTGGGCAATTCAACTATCAAAGACCGTTCTCATTTGATCGTGGTTTTCATATTATTTGTGAAGCTTGTGCATGCAATTAATGTGCCACAAATGTTATCTTAGTATTTAAAATCTGCTAAATATTTATTTACAGCCTTCATTTGTAAAAAACCCATGTTTTACCTCAATTATGTTTATGATATTATCACTAATCTCTTCCTTATTCACATCCAGGACATTAATACTTTTTTTTTTATTTGACACCATACAGTCTGATATAAAAAGTGGCATATGAGTTATTTTGGTGGCCACAACATCCTCGGTAGAGGAATTTGATGGTTAGTGAAGGAAGTAGGCGGTAGTGTCATTTATTTAGGGAGGAAAATTCAATTAGATGCTAATAAGAAATTCCGATTTCGAGAATGTCTTAGAAGGAGGAATATAATTTTTTTTTGGCTCCATAGTAAATTCTCTCAAAACAAACGATTGGAGCTCCAGCCGCCCACAGATCGATCCGGATCGTCCGTCAGCTGCCCGGACGGAGCCCAGAACAGTCCCTGCGCGCCGGCGTCCGCGTGATAGCGTCACCGACGCCTCCGAAGCTGTGAGCAGCTCAGCTAGTCGACTCGTTTCGCTTCTTCCAGTGCCTGAGGCGGCCGCAACGCAAAGGGGCCCCGGAACCACGCGAAAACGCGGCCAAAACACCGCGAAAATCCCGACATCCAACTGCGCCGCGTGGGCAGCGGCGGCGGCGGCGGTCGACCAATGTGGAGGGGGACGCGCATGCACAGCCTCCTGGGCGTCCTGCTCCTCCTGGCCCTGGCCTACCTGAACTGGCTCCCGGGCCGCGGCCCCTCCTCCGCCGGCGGCCCCGGTGGGTTCAAGCTCCCCATGCCGTGGCTGCAGCCGCCGATGTCCTTCGTGGGCCGCGCCGGCACCCACTTCGTCGACGCCGTCACGGGCGCGCCGATCTACGTCAACGGCTGGAACTCGTACTGGCTCCTCTCGGCCCGGTCCCCCGCGTTGTCCGCCGAGATGCTGCGCCGCGGTCGCCGCATGGGGCTGACGGTCTGCCGCACATGGGCGTTCAGCGACGGTGGCCCCGGCGCGCTGCAGATCTCCCCAGGCCGGTTCAGCGAGCCTGTCTTCCAGGTCCGGATTGCTCCGTCTTCATTCCCTTCTCTTTCCCTCTACAAAAGCTATCGGGACGGCGGACGGCGCAATTTGTTTTTGACTGTCAGTTAGAGTAGAACCGGTTCCGCCTTCTGAATCTAACTAACGAATGTCCTGTAATGATTCTCCTGCGCCAAAAGCATACCATACGTTACGTCGAAATGTAACTAACAAACAGCCAAACAGGTGCGTGTGTAAGCACGTGGATGATGCCACTCGATGGGCTTATTAGTTATGACACCATGAGAACATTGTGACTTATCGGAATGCTTGGTATCATGATCATGACACGCATAAGCTGATTGGAGTAACCTTGTTTGATAACCTATCTTACAAATTCAATCGGTTACTAACAAACCAGATAACAGTTACATCCATTGGACTACAATGTTTTTGGTGATTGTACGAATCTTATTGGCATAATTTTGTGCGACGAAAAGAACCTCAACAAATTTGAAGAAAAGCACCTAATACGTTTAAGAGGTCCAAGTAGTTTGAATCGCTTCTGAATGTGCACTATCCCAATCTGTAATGTTCTTATTAATTTTTGTAAGCTTCAACATTCCTGTCCTTTGACAATCTCAACAACTATGCTATGCACCAAAGAGGAAAAAGGGTAAACATTAGTTAGTGAAGTTGATATTTCAGTCACTGGATATCTTTGCATATTATTATTTTACTAGGGTAAATGATGCAAATATAGTTATATACAATAAATGGTCTCTTAATAATGTTAAATAATTAAATGACAATTTCCAACAATTGGTGACTGTTTAAATCGATGGATTAATAATTACAGGACTTGAGCAATATCACTAGCTTACTTACAGTCATTTGAGGAAACAACCAGTTTATATTTCCTTGGTTAAGAATGAGTTGAAGTTTCAAATGCTTGCACAATGGGGGTAGAATATCAACTATGTTTAGGAGCTTTTCGAAGTACAATTTGTTTACATCCTGGCTAGCTACAATTTCTAGACTTTGTCCCTTTCTCAAATGTTTGTACTTCTTTTTGACTGGCTTTAGGCATCTGTGAAGTGTATAGTTTTTATTTTTATTTTTGTAGATGCTGGATTATGTGATATATGAGGCCCGAAGAAATCATGTTAGATTGATTCTATGCCTTGTCAACAATCTTGATAACTTTGGAGGGAAGGCTCAGTATGTTCAGTGGGCACAAGCAGCTGGTGCTAATGTGACAAATTCTATGGATTCCTTTTTCTCTCACCCAACTATTAAAGGTTACTACATGGAGTATGTAAAGGTAATCGTCATGTATTAAACATATTTTTTTTCTTCATTTTTTATTGTGCTACCATGCTTATATTAGTTTTATATTCACTGTATTTTTTGTCGGTTACTTTATTAATGGGCTTTTGCAATATAACAAATTTTAACCAAAACATGTTTTCACAATATGTCAATATTAAGAATTTAAGATGATATTATCAGAGTGACACTTACTGCAATGAGTCGTAGTTTCTATTGTCTGATACTGATTTTTGCTGCAAGTCATGATTCTTATCATAGTGGCAGCAACAGGATTAAATATCAAATAAATGTGTTTCATATCAAATAAATGTGTTTCATATAAATGTGTTTCATACGATCGTGCATGCTGCCATTGGGGGCCGGGCGGGAGCCTGTCGCCGCGCGTGCTGGGGTCTAGGCGGAGAGGCCGCCGCCGCGCGTGCTGGGGTCCGGGCCGGGCGGGGAGGCCGCCGCCGCGCACTGGAGACGAGGGCGGCGAAGGCTGGGGTCGGCGAGCGGAGGCCAGGGCCGGCGGTTAGGCGCTGCAAAGGCCAGGGCGACGCCAGAGCTGCAGCTACCAGGGTGGGGCGTGGCGTCGTCTTGGGAGGCCATGGGCGGCCGTGCTATCGACGCCGTCAGTAGAGGAGAGAGAGAGAAGAGATGCTTGAAGATTCATGTTGCAGAGGAGAACGATGGCTGAGATAGCCCATGCGGCCACATATACATGCGGTCTTGCTTTTCTGAGCCCCACATGAGAATCTCACATGATCTTGAAGTGTGCGCATGAGACTTGCTCTTGATCAAGAGATAACTTTTCTTCTCTTCTATTAAAATATGAAATATGAAATAATATGCTTAGAGCTAGCTCATAAATCACCGTTGGAGGTGCTCTTAGTGGAGCCTGAGTTGTGGCCTGCATTAAAATGTTTGCTGTGATGGTTGTGTCTATGCAGTGAACAGCATAGAGGGTGCAATTATACTAAATATGCCAATATAGCTTCTGTACTCCTATTTTCTTACCCATCTAGCCATTGAACTTAATTATGCAAGACCAGTGTTATGAAATGTCCATATTAATGAATTACTACCCCTTGACGCACACATGTTTGATCCTCTTCTTTAAATAAAGATCATTCAGGCTAACACATTGAAACTTTATACTTGTTTTATTAACCTTTTGCCATACCATCATGTTTGGCATGTTGTGTTCTAGTGTTGCTTTACGCTGTCCACTGTAAAAAAAAACACTTTTTCGTTTCATTGTCTATTTAAGAAGATTGTTGCTTTATGCTATCCACTGTAAAAAACACTTTTTCGCTTCAGTGCCTATTTAAGAAGATTGTATTTTCTCCAATCTAACCTGTTGAGATAGCTTTTAGCCGTTTCACTATTTCTGGCAAAGAAATCCCATTATTTCATCTCGAAGCTACATTATTGTTATTGACAGGCAATATTAACCAGAAGAAACTCTTACAGTGGAATCAAATATTGTGATGAACCTGCTATATTTGCTTGGGAACTCATGAATGAGCCTAGATGTGTATCTAATTCATCGGGTCCTCATATTCAGGTAGCGTACTGTTTGAAGACACCCTTTGCTTAGAAAGTGGGCATATGAAATCATTAATTCCTTATAATTAAACCTGGAGTTAATTTGCAGGCTTGGATAGAAGAAATGGCAGCATATATTAAGAGTTTGGACACAAAGCATCTCATTACAGTTGGTATTGAAGGATTTTATGGCCCTGGGAGAGGTGAGAGGCTGGGTGTAAATCCTGGAGACTGGGCAGCTTCACTCTGCTCTGACTTCATACAGAACTCAGCTGTCAAAGATATTGATTTTGCCTCGGTTCATGCTTATCCTGATAGCTGGTCTGTATCATTCCATTTTCTGTACTGAATAATTTTAATTGTACCATGTCATTGATGCATCTTTTTTCCAGGCTACCAAAGGCAAGCATGGAAGAAAAAGTCAAGTACCTTTCTGTCTGGGTTGATTCACACTTGAATGACAGTGAATATGTCTTGAGAAAGCCTGTCCTGTTTTCTGAAGTAGGTTACCTCCAACATGCAGAAGCTAACAGCACAGTTGATGGAGACACTCTTCTAAAAGTTGTTTATGATAAACTATACAATTCAGCAAAAAAGCTGCAGGCAGGAGGTGGCGCTCTTATTTGGCAGTTGATGGTTGAAGGCATGCAGATGTACCATGATAACTTTTCTATGGTGGCACGGGATCGTCCCTCAACATATAATCTGATAAAGGAGCAGTCATGCCGACTGCAAAGTCTATATGGAAAAGAGGGAGACCCTAGTTGGCAATGCTCATTACCACCTTAGGGTTTTCTACTATTGATATCGAAACATTCCACTTCATCAGACACAAACTGGATTGCTGGAACCAACAGCAAGGGTATGCTATTGGAGATAAAGATGAAGATTAGGCAAATGGTCAACAGACATCTCTGTAGTAAATAACTTGTTTATAGAATCATTGCTGAAGAGCTAGACTGCCAGTGGAGAATCCACTTTTGAAAACAAAACATGCATTCTGTCACATGATGTACATTGGACGGTTAATATGACCTAGAGGTCAAAATGAAAGGAGCACCAATACAAGTTATGGCATCGAATGCTTCATGTGCGAAAACCTCATATCTGTACCAAATGTGCATTCAAAAATGCTAAAATGCATTATGTGTTTGTTGTGGTGACCATTAAATCAAATGTTTGCATGTGTATGTGTTTCAGGCCAGTGGCCACACGCATCTGTGCTTGCATGAACGTCCACTGAAGCAGATGCCTGCGGCACGGAACGGAAGCTTATCACCGCTCTACTCAGGTAGAAGTAGAATCGTAGAACTGTTCCTTTTCTTTAGAACATATTTCCCACAAACAACTGAAATGTTTTTTTTGTGTGCAAATTGTCTGCTGACACCCAATGGCCAAAGCATTAGACAGAAAGCACCCATTATACCTTCTTTTCGAGAGAGACATATATAGGATAAAGCCCGGAGAAACAGCCTTCGGGCTGCCTGGTGCCTGCACTCACGTGCCACTCGACGGTTCTCTCAAACTCTTCCACCACTTGTCCCTGCGACCCGAAGTGCTGCGCGATCATTGGTTCGTACGCAGCTTTACAGGCGGTTCGCTTGCTCGTATACGATCGTGGATTATAAGCTAAAATAGTATTTTTCTCTCACACCAAACCAGCCAGCAGTAAATAATCCACGATCGTTTACGACGAAACGAACAGGCTGCTAGTTGCGAGAGCTACCATCTTTGGGGTCATGGAGCTTCTTTTTTTTGTCCATGTCACTAATGACATCACGGGCCAGTATCTTGTTGATCACGAAGGAGCCCTCATCTTGGATGATTTCTCTTAGCTCCTTATCAGAAGGGCCATACATGGGTAAGTAGAACGAGTCTAGCTTTTCTCTGTCGATGACACCCTGCTAATGAATGAAAGTAAGCATTAGCCGAAAGAAAATAAAAATATCGACAAGATTTGCAGTTTCTAGATCTTTTGGTTGCCCCGGAATCTTATCTTTGTCGGTTGGAGGAACAACAGTCGCCAGTTGAGCTATTTATGATTCTATCATTTTATTAAAGCTATACTGGTTCTTAATGGCAGAGGAGAAACTATCCATTCTATTATTTATGTTTTCTAAGATTTTATCATTGAAAGCTTAGTTTTCTAGATAAGCCCTCCATTATTTTAGCTTGGCCAGAAATCAACTCTCTCAAGGGTGGTTGGTTATTAAAATTATTGAAATTATTATCTTGATAGTTATCTTGGTAATTATCTTGATAGTTACCTTGGTAGTTCCCTTGGTAGTTCGGCCTCTTTTGCTGATTCTCTGAATGCCCAGTGTTGCCACACTCTTCACACGTCATGCGGGAATCATGAATGTGCATGACTTCTTGCTTTTCATTAGCTCGGTTTTCGAGCTTCTTCATGAGTAGATCTATCTTGGCAGATAGCATGTCTACCTCTTTGAGTTGATGCATACCTCCGCCTCTCTTGCGGGACTGAAGACGTTCTTCATTCCAACCTTAGTTGGAGGTCATCTTCTTTACAAGAGCTATTGTACCTGGGATTGTGAGTGATAGGAAAGCACCTCCAGCAGCAGTAGCCATGTTCTCATGGGTACTGTTGGTCAACCCGTGGTAAAAGGTCTGCATGAGTAGCCAATTCTTCATTCCGTGATAAGGACATTCTGAAATATAGTCTTGGAAGCGTTCCCATGCCTTAGGGACAGATTCATCATGTTGCTGCTGGAAACTTAAAATTCTCTCACGCAGAGCATTGGTCTTGCATGTGGGAAAGAACTTCGCTGCTCCAGTATGGATGTTGGCTATAGTTGGAGGAGAGAACTCACAGAGTCTTGTCAGCCATGGCTTCGAAATCAAGTGTTAAGCTTCGCCTTATCTGGTTGTCTTCCGATTCTAAAGCTAAGACTTTCTTGAGTTTGGCTCTAGTTCTCCTGATTAATGCTTCTGAATCTTCAACGTAGTTTGTCGGAAGGTCAAAACTGGTCATATATTACCCTGCATAAGATATCAAAGTAGACAAAATAAGGGTAAGTCTGTTTGAGTAGAGGTCAATGGTTTATGTTGACCACATCAGTAAGTATAAGTTTATCAATATTTCCTTTTTGCCTAGCTACCTTCCTCGGCAACGGCGCCAAAAATGCTTGTTGATATTTATTAACGTGTCACCTATTTTAAGTAGTCACCCTATGTTGTTGACATTCCTTAGCATCACTTTTACTAAGTTGTCATCCCTACCGATGGTGCCAGAAATACTTATTGGTACTACCTAGTGCCACTTCTAGAATGACACTAAGAAGTACTTTAATATTGCATGTGACTAGAAAGAATATATAAATGAAAGGAATCTACAAGCGCACAGATAATATACCATGGACATTATAACTAGGAACATGAATGATATGAAGAACATTGTCATAATAATTGTAGCAAACAAATAAAAGTAATGAGAGATACAAATGAGAGAGGGTACAGAAGCTATACCAAGCCACGCTCTTGACAAGATCAGAATCCAACTCAAGCTTGCCTCCCTCTAGACCTAGCCTAGCTAGCTATGCCCTAAAATATGGTGGATCTCTGAGGATGATTAGGGTTTCTGTCTTCTCAACTGACTTGGTCAGGGTTTGATTCTCTTGATGACATGGGAGGGGTGGTAGGGGCTAATATATATAAGCCGAAGCGTCAATCCTGAACCATCGGATCAAACCTACTTGAATAAATGGCGTAGATGCAATCTAGGAGGCGGTGAAGAACCGACATAACGAGACAGAGGCTGACAGGTGGGGCCCCAGACCGGCCGGCCTACAGGTGGCACTGGCCGGTCCCACCTGGTGGCCCCTCGCCATCTGCTTCGGTGTGGTGTCCTCTAGAACCTTCTAGAGCTGTTTATGCGATGATTAAGCATGATTAATTCTAACATCTAGGTCTACCTTGCTGGTTTTCTGGATAAACCCTGCAGAAAATACAGATTCACCAAAACTCATGGAATTTGTTATTTTAAACCCCTAAACCTTTGTTGGTGATTACTTTCATACCCTTACTCATGTTATATTGATGGTTTATAATGGTTGTTAACTACCGTCAACAGTACGCCATTACTCCTGCATCTTCGGTCACACACGCCTTCCCCGGTGTAATACGATTGCGATTCCTGAGGTAGTGCGACGGCACCCGAGGTGACGCGTAGCGATTTGGAAAAATAAATCTTTATCTCGCCTTAAAAGCCCTACCGTCCCTGTGTATACATAAAGCATGGCCTCGCTCCAATTCAAATTGATGGTCTGAGCATCGTCCATCTAATCGGGCCAGACACTTCTCACTCTTGCCAAGCGCCCAAGGGTAACTTTGTGCCTCGGTTTGGTGAACCAAAAACATATTAGTAGTGGTAGTAGTCATGAGTGACTTTGATCTGTGGTGAACCCAACTCATGTCTTCGATAAAATTTGTTGAATTTGCAAGAACCACACAACGAGGAGTTCATCTGAACAAGTGTCGCCTCGATCTAATGCACAACGAAGGAGACATCGCTGTTGCATTTTTACTACACATGCCAGAAAGTCCGCCGCTGTCCATTTGATCTCTCGTCGGATAATAAAAAGTGTAGCCATCTCTAGCTAGCTGATGCATGACTCTGCAAAACCAACCAAGAGAAATTGCTTACGAAAGCAACTCCTCTTCACTCTTCAGTCTGCCCCTCAACTGTTGTGACTGTGTTTTTAGAGTGAAATAACTGTGGCAGAACCTCCTAAGAAATCGGGCCCACGTGCACCTATTGATGTCTCAACAGACCTCAGATAGCGTACACAAGTTCCCAACAACTTAGCAGGTCTGTTGGGTGTCCTCGGGAAACCCAAATCGTCCATGAATCTTTTCCAAACAGGATCCCAATCACAGTCATTGCAGATTACAATAGTTTTCAATATACATACCAGAGATTATAAAGCGGAAGACTTAAGTTTTAATATTACAAACCAGTTGTTTCAAACTTACATAACCATAAGTGTCATACAACCATAGTAGCGGGATAATATTACATTACCATTATTTATTTCACACAAACTAGTGCCTTGTCCAAAGGCCATTCATCATTCCTCATCGTCATCGACTTCAAACACTGACATGCAGCAGGGACCAAAATAAGCCTGCGCATGCGACTCACCTGCAACAAGGGTTAACAAACTCTGAGTACAAAAGTATTCAACAAGACTGACCCAACAAAAAAGGGCGAAGGTCTTAGGGATGCAGGTGTTAGGTCAAGGTAAGGATGTAGAAAGATTCAAAAGTTCTTTGCCAAAAGCTTACTATTCTTGATCCTAGTTTTAAGTTTTACTCCTAAGTACTTTAGTTCAATATCTCCAACTAAGTGTTCATATCCCATGTTCCAATCCTTCTCATTCCATTCTTTTTCTCATGTTTTAGTAATTCACCAGTCCTGCATTGCTTCTGTAATGAATCGAGTCTCCATATCCGCGGAGCACCGGCAATTCAAATTGATTCAAGTCCCAGCTGGGGATTCCTTATCACACGACATATGTAGAACTTAATCTTGCATATATCAACCTTGCTACCGGATCCTCCCGTACTAAGCCGTCTCCACGCCACCCAAGGGCACAGCATGCCTCAAATCCAGCCACATTCAAGCCATGAGGGTACACGCTACTCCCGCCATCTCATCACTCCCAGTGCGTGGGCATTCGTCTTAGTATCGGATTAGCCGAAGTAGGCTTACCAGAGTATGTGACCAGTACTACAAAGTATCTCATTCAGAAGATCCACAATGAGTGGCC